GAGAGTGTCTCGCTTACTCGCAGGACAGGAGTGTAACTCCAGTACAATCGAGAGTGTCTTGCTTACTCATAGGACAGGAGCATCTCGCTTACTCACAGGACATGAGTATCTCGCTTACTCACAGGACATACTCCTGTTTTGTGTGCTCAGGATCATAATCACATTAATACGAGTAACGCACTTGAATGCAGCCGTACAAGTGAGGAGACAGCAGACAAAATGACTTGACAGTGAAGTTGGCTAGATGCCGCTTCAAATTCCCGTTACGTCAACCTTCCTTGCAGACGCAACAAAGCAAACGCTGGTGACCTGTGTACCTGCTTCATGCAGTACCATGGTCAACTGCAAGTTTCCCACTGACAGTTCGCATTCAATCATTTCCTGCATCAATCGCATTGGATACCATCCTTGTACGTTACTAATAACACTTTTTTTTTCTTTGCACATTTAAGAACATATAACATACATGTAGGAGTTCATTTACATGTACTAGTATGACGAAATTCTATTTCCCAAAAATCAGTCTGTGTAAATGGCACAATATTTTACATTTACATCAAAATAGCAGATATATCTACATTTGACCAAATGCATGGACCATTCTAGTCTCTCTGGGTTTGTACACGTCTTGGGCTATTAAACAAAGATGAAAGACACTTAAAAAGAACACATAAATTCATAAAATATACACTGTACATGCGTGTATCTTCACCAGTCATGTACACTCACATCCATCCTCACACAGCTATACTTGTGGGGTATTTCCTTAGTTCTCGTTTACAAAACTCCCACACAACACGCAAAAAAATTTCAAATCACTCCAATTTAAACCAGATTCACTTTCCTGGGTTGAAATTTTGACCGCATGTCCCTTATATAAAACACTTCAATTTGCGACAGATTTTTACCCTTAAAAAAATTCGCCTTTTTGAGTTATTTCCAAATCTCAGTTTGGTGAAATTCTTGTGGGGTACCGATTTTGGTATCCCACAAGGTAAAAACTGGCCTTGTGGGGTACTTCCCATTGTTCCGGTACCCCACAAGGCCCCTTGTATAAGTGCATGTAGTCTCACAAAATCAGGCCAAGTTGAATTTCATTGCATTTCATACAATCAGCCTTTTTCGTTTGAATGAAATGTCATCCACATTAGTACCACTGACATTTGGATGAAAGTACTGTACGTTTTTTCAGATGTATACAGTAAAAAAATTGGAACTAGTAATTTGTATGCCAACATTTCTTTGTTTTGAGCTGCACAGCAAATTTTTATATCCTGCTTTCCCTTTTTTATTGGTCCGTTAAGTGGACCAGATACTCNGAGAGTGTCTTGCTTACTCGCAGGACAGGAGTGTAATTCCATTACAATCGAGAGTGTCTCGCTTACTCATAGGACAGGAGCATCTCGCTTACTCACAGGACATGAGTATCTCGCTTACTCACAGGACATACTCCTGTTTTGTGTGCTCAGGATCATAATCACATTAATACGAGTAACGCACTTGAATGCAGCCGTACAAGTGAGGAGACAGCAGACAAAATGACTTGACAGTGAAGTTGGTTAGATGCCGCTTCAAATTCCCGTTACGTCAATCTTCCTTGCAGACGCAACAAAGCAAACGCTGGTGACCCGTGTACCTGGTTCATGCAGTACCATGGTCAACTGCAAGTTTCCCACTGACAGTTCGCATTCAATAATTTCCTGCATCAATCGCGGGATACCCTCCTCGTACGTTACTAATAATGAACACACTTTTTTTTTCTTTGCACATTTAAGAACATATAACATACATGTAGGAGTTCATTTACATCTATGACCAAATTCTATTTCCCAAAAATCAGTCTGTGTAAATGGCACAATATTTTATATTTACATCAAAATAGCAGATATATCTACATTTGACCAAATGCATGGACCATTCTAGTCTCTCTGGGTTTGTACACATCTTGGGCACTTAAAAAGAACACATAAATTCATAAAATATACACTGTACATGCGTGTATCTTCACCAGTCATGTACACTCGCATCCATCCTTACACAGCTATACTTGTGGGGTATTTCCTTAGTTCTCGTTTACAAAACTCCCACACAACGCGAAAAAATTTCAAATCACTCCAATTTAAACCAAATTCACTTTCCTGGGTTGAAATTTTGACCGCATGTCCCTTATATAAAACACTTCAATCTGCGACGGATTTTTACCCCCCCAAAAATTTGTCTTTTTGAGTTATTTCCAAAGATCAGTTTCGTGAAATTCTTGTGGGGTACCAATTTTGGTACCCCACAAGGTAAAAACTGGCCTTGTGGGGTACTTCCCATTGTTCCGGTACCCCACAAGGCCCCTTGTATAAGTGCATGTAGTCTCACAAAATCAAGCCAAGTTGAATTTCATTGTATTTCATACAATCGGCCTTTTTCGTTTGGATGAAAAGTCATCCACATTAGTACCACTAACATTTGGATGAAAGTACTGTACGTTTTTTCAAATGTATACAGTAAAAAAATTGGAACTAGTAATTTTGTATGCCAACATTTCTTTGTTTTGAGCTGCACAGCAAATTTTTATATCCTGCTTTCCCTTTTTTATTGGTCCGTTAAGTGGACCAGATACTTNGATAAGCGATACTTGAGTGTCACTGGCTGTTAAGGCACTGACCTTCCAAAATACTGATACCTTTACCGATTAGACATCTTCCGTTGTTTTGGCCGGGTCATAGGCCATCTCCTTGTTTTGAATGAGGCCTAGTTCCAACTGCTTGGAATCTTTGCTCTTCTTTTTCTTTTTCTTCTGGGACTTCGGCTCCGACTGACCGGTAGCGGCGGACTCTCCCACTAATAATGAGGTGTCTCCTGCCTGGGAACCAGCGGAGAACGTTCTGTTTCTGGAGTCCTGGCTCTCTGTGCATTCGGAGAGAAAGACAGAACAGGAGCATAAATGAAATGAAATGGACAGTCGAAGTGAAACATCATCTTTATTCGTTGCTAAGGCAATGGTTCAACATAAGTCACTCGACCGTATATCCATGGGCTTGGGGCCTGGGGGCACGTCCCCCCCCCAGTGCCCCCAACTTGCCCCCCAAATCCACACTGACATCTGGTGCCCCCCGTAAGATGCTTGTATCCCTCCTTCCTACCACAATCCTAGCTATGCCACTGGGTTCCCGTGACGACAGTTAAGGGTACATGTATATGAAATGTTATGTTTCTTTATCACAACCCTTGAAAGGCTCCTGTATGTGTCAATTTATTTGCACGTTTTTTGGCCTTAAATAGGTATTTTGGTGACTTTTGGGTGTTTATGTATAATGCCAACTGCCATATCCATCAGCAAAAACTCTGACGTCATCTCGGGTAGAGAACCCCCCCCATTGATTTGTGCAACCCCAAAAAATTGAAATTCTGGAAGCTTTGACGTTTTGCTGCCCTAAATTTTCTGCTCTTTGTTGATTCACTGTTGTGCAAGTACGTGTCAGTGAGCAACCTTTCTCAAACATGTTTTCAATGAGCAAAACTGGGGTTCACCGTTTGTGCAGAAAAATACAAAACAAGAATTTATTTCCCTGGATGGTATTACCCATAGTTGTCCAGAAAAACACAGACAACTTTATGGTTGAAAGAAAAAAGCACTTTTTAAAACACTGAACCCAACAAGGATATCAAGTCGTGTTCATACACCGAAGAAGAATATTAGTTGTACAGTTGAACAAAAAATGTATTTGAGAACAGTTCATCGCACGGACCCTTTAAAGAGACATAATTATCATTCTATCATTTCTGGCACAGAGCCAAAGTTTTGCTGCGCATAAACCACCTGTCCTGTGGTGTAGGCCTGCATGATTAATCGTGGGCGTCACCCAATAAATTTCTCTGTTCAGGCAACCTGCCCACAAGACAAAGCAGCTCATCACATTAGGCACAGAGGTTCGCTTTCCTCCACTGGCTGACCTGTATGGTGGCTGTGAATGGTCATGATTTCTCACCTATTGGGTCTGCAGCATGTGGCGTTAAGATCACCTGTGCACCGCTAGCAGTTCTTGGGTTGGAGTTGTCTAACTGGTCTGTAGAATGGTGACCTTGAATAATGCAGAATGGCCCAAGGATTACCCTTTTGCTAATTGTTGGTCAATTTGCTACTGTCAGTATTGTGATTGAAACTTTTCTAATAAATCTGTCATTTAACATACACAGAGATGGCTCATATCTGAAACATGAATTAGTTCAGTAATTCAGTTATTAAATTTTGGGTTGCACAAAAAAAAGAAACGAAACGAAAAAAAATTGGGGGATAGAACTCCACATCACCAAAGAGTAACCAAATATAGCGCAGAATTTCTAGAAGGAATAGCACGGAGTGGGATGTGAACCAGCAACCTCCTAAATGCTATGCTGGTGCTCTACATATGAGGGCGATCTGAATTCCACCCTGTCCTGGTGGTCTAATCATTCATCGGTAGCTTTGCTTAAAGGGGGCACTAGCTAAACTGTTGCATCACTCTGCATGGCACCCTTGTAACACACACCGTGTCAACTTTAGTGACACGTGACACAGGGCTGCATGGAGGGAGCCAAGTTGGCAGACATTGAGAAGGTCCCAGGTTCAAATCCCTGCTCTCGGTTCAACCATTCCTTCCTCCATGTGTTTAACAAAACAGCATTTCCAACCAACAGCAAAGCCAATTACAGCCACCGGCAATTCAAATGCTCATGCAGGAAGTTTCAACTGGTAAATTTCATGGGTTACTGACATTCCCACGACAGTTACAATAATGGAGGAAAACTTCCCCTATCCAGGAAAGAGGTAAAGACTTAGCCGGCTGTCTCGTTAAAGAAAAAAAAAACCTCTCCCAGCTTCAGGAAATTAATCTGAAAACCAACGTGAGAAGTCATGTGGTTCCTACTGCCAATAGGGCTGAAGAACAATACAAGGGGCAGCGTTGGCTGCATTCAAGTGAGCCACTTGCATTGTACATGAGTATACTCAGGAGTGCATAAAGGACATACAGTAGTATGACCCTCTGGTAAATGAGAATATGCACTCGAACAGATGGGGGGGGGGAATTTCAGAGAGCTGCTTAAGCACAAAATTTGCTTAAGCGCAAAAATCCCTGCTTGGAAAACAAAGGTTACCAGCTCAAAATCTACGTGACTGTCATGCTAACCGAAAGACAGGTGAATACCATTCCAAAACAATATACATCACATGGAGTTTTGGCTGGTTATCTGATTTATCAAGTAAGGTTTTTTCACGCTTAAGCAAAGTTTGTGCTTAAGCAGCTCCATAAAATTCGGGAGTATACACTAGCATCACGTGGTTATTTCAAGACGGAAGCAAGGTCAACGTTTACTGTTCGTGCAATGTGATTTGAGAGCAATTCATGCAATATTTCCTCTGCTTGCCCCCCCCACCGATTTTAAAGGTAACACACAGAATGCAGTTACTGATAGAAATGAATGGTATCCAATCCAACTAGGAAAGGAAAGCTTTACTGCTGCAATGAAAAGGCGCATACAATGTAATTTTTTTGTGCGGTCAAAAAAAATGGAGCTATTTTTATGGCCTAAGGTTACATGTATTTTCAATCTTCTTCAGACTTGCCATTTTCAAGGGAATTCGGTACCTTTGGGGGTTTCATAATAGTATCAATGTCTGGTTTTTTTTGGGTTTTTTTTGGGGGGGGCTGAAATTTAACGGCAAACAGTTTTGGAATTTTTGACATTTTGCTTTTCTTTTTTTCTTCAGTGAAAAGGTAGCATAGATGGAATAGACTTATACCATAAAGACATCAGCACTTTGTTTTACATGTTTGCTTTCCTACGGCAGTGGGGTGGAACACAACCCCTGCAAGTCCCCACAGGAAAGGGCACATGAAAACAGAGCGTGACGTTATTTCATTTTAAATCTACACTGCATTCTGTGCAAAACCATGTCGGATGAAAACATTTTCATCGAGGGTAAAATTGCCACTTGTGTCAGTGGTGACTTTTTCACATTACTTCAAATTGAAATTGCTGGGGCATATTTCCATCAGGGACATGTAACACACAGCATATCACCTAACTATACCACTCCAAACATTCAATATTTGTAGACAATCATCCCTGTACTTGGCATCATCAATAAGTAATAAAAACACAGAAAAAAATAGCTAAAAATGAAATTCAAACAAAACTGCATTCCATGAAAAATAAACTCAAGTAGAAGTCTAGACAGAAGTGGTGAACATTTACAATTAACCAAAGCTGCAAAATGAAAAGTGAAACTATGGAAATCAGTCTGCCATATCCGAGTGATGAACTAAATGTTCCTTTCGAATAACAATAGGAATACACGGAAACAGAATGTGTGCTTTCTTCCTGCAGAAAGGGTGAGAATTTGTCAGGTGTTTAGAGAACTTCCCAAAACAGGAAATTGCAGATCCAACATTTCTTCAAAGTTGAGAAGAAAATCCACTTAATTTCCTCTCTGTGCTTCAGAAATTATGATTATTAAAGAATCCCTTTGTTTTTGAGAAGGGAAACTACATGTATCATACTTCGGTGAGTCTGGCATTCTTACACTTTGTAGTTTGGTTTTTCAAGTTAATAAATCGACCCTCATATATATTGCTTCAGATTTTTACACGGGCATTGCCAGGAGGAAGAACATTTCTTTCGGGGGGGGGTGCTCATGAGCAGCAGACTGGCAAACCACCAATGGTGGAACGGAGTCAAGGTGGATTCAGTAAACTAGTGATTTCACCCACTTTTGTCCTTTTTAAAATTTCTTTCTACCCCTTTTTCTTCGTTTTTCCTTTTTCTCCATGGGGTACATGTGCATGCCCTGTTCCCCCCCCCCCCCCCCCCCCCCCCCNGCCCTGTTCCCCCCCCCCCCCCCCCGACGCCCATGGCTTTACAACTCCAATTTGGCATTCTGATTTCCCGTCCAGAACAGATAGAGTGAGAGGTGCTTACGCAAGGCGGGTGGAGCATTGCATGATGGGTGATTTAGTGGAGCCACCACCGGTTCAAGAACGATACTGCCTCAGGATCTGTCATGGTATTTCAGTACCATAAGCTTACCTTTATCCGTGGAGGAATCATTTGCCTCTGATTCGCAGTGGACTTTACTGAGAAATTGAAGAGAAAAGGAATACCGAGATGCTGAAGTGTAGTGTGCGTCAAGGTTTGTTGTAGGAAATTCATTAATCCAGTTGATTCAGTGAATGAATGAAGAAAGAATGCCACCTCTTCAAATGAAGTACTCATCACTTTGTGCTCTCTATCGTAAACATGATTATTGTATATACCATTTACAGAACTGCCTGGACATGTTAGGCCACTTAAAAAAAAACAGTTTAGCATCAGTTGTATTTGCAAAAAACGAGGAGGGAGGAGTTTTTTTTTAAAAATACTTTGGTATGCATGCTGATCTGGACTGCTGCAACCACGGAACAAAAGCGCCAGGTTCACTTCAGACTCGTGCACAGAAGGGCACATGACATTTGCGCGTATGTACTCAGGTCGCATGTTGTCGTGCACGAGGTTGTGTTGGAGTTGTAGAAACTACCAGGGATGGCTAACGACATCGGAAAAGACAACTTCAGGAAAAAAACACAAAACATGTGGCAAGATTTTTTGAGGCAGGTGCTGATGCTAAACGAATTATTTTTTTATGTGGCCTTTCTTTTTTCTCATTTGTCAGTTCCATGAAACCATCATTTTGAAAGGAAACAACTTCAAATATGAGGCTAAGCTTTAGAAAAGATTAAAAATCCTCATTTTTACAACAGTAAAGACACACTTTACATGTAGGTTATGGACAAAAATGATCAGTGTTAGAACTTGCAAAATTCATCTTGAATTTCATACAATGCTATGATATATGAATTTGAACTCACAGTGGCATTGGAACTCATGAGCATGTTCAAAATTTGAGGAAATATGAAAACAGATCATGACGAAATTCTGAAGGTAACTGCAATATGACAAGCGACAGAGATGTTGATTTCATTTTCTTTCTTCCAAACTATGCGTCTAATCAAAAAAGTATGTCTGGAAAAGAACAAACTCATTCCCCTTCCCCCCACCCCACCCTCTGAACAGTAAACCGAGTGCTGCTTTGGAACGTGGAAACATATAATAAGGAGTTTCTGCGGGTGAGTGCGTCATCCTTTCCAGATGCGTTTCTATTTTGCCGCGTTACCATGGAGACAGTTGCTAAGAAGCCAGGCTTTACTACCCAGGGTAATCTTTTTCCAGCCATTACTTCCCTAATTTGTTTCCAACAGTTAGATGATCTATAACGGATGAATAATTTTGCCAGGCGAGGCAGGATCTCAGTTGAGCTGAATTTTCTTTCCGGCTGATTTCCCTTTTCATGCCATTAAACATCGAACCCATCAACGTGAACTTACCAAGTGTCATTCTTTTTTTTGACCACGTAATACACGACGAACAAAATCACCAAGCCTCCAAGTAAAGAGGCGAAGACAATGAGTACAATAAGCCATACTTCCAATCCTGACAAAAGAAGCAAATAAACGATTTCAAAATTATAAATACGTGAACGCTGCGCTTAATACGTACATGAACTCATCCGATAATGGTGGTGGTTCCTTTGAAAAGAGAGTATCCACATGGTGTATGACGTATGACCCACCATTTCAAAACCAGACTGAAGAATCACAAATTAAGCTATTATCTAGGAAATGATAATTGAACAGTGCAGATTCCACAATGTTGATTGCCTGCACTATCCGCTGGGAACAAAAAAGGGTGTGTTTTTTTGGTACTTACTGCATAAACGCGCAATGAGGCGTGCAAGTATATGTGCGTTTGACCCGAAGCACGCTGAGTACGCATAACTAATTTATTCCGGAATGTATGGTCTTTGCGTACACACAGAATACATGCAAGAACCCACTTGTAACCATCTGTCTTTATTTCGCCAAATGGGGGTGCACATCAGCTTGGGGCAGATATCAACTACCAAAGATTTCTGGACAAAAACTGTTTTACAATATGGACCACTTTGATGCATGAAAATGAACACTAGGGGAGGAGGATTGTCAAACATCAAAATTAAATACGTCAGCCTGGTTTTGGAATGATAGATCAACCTCACGTATTCTCAATTTTAACTGTAATCCCATGGGCCCACCCAACCAAAAAGATTCAACCACAGTCAGAATATATCACACCGCGCACAAGTCTGGTAACTGAGGCATTACTTCTGTATTTCAATTGGCTGAGAGAAAGTTTAAGCAATTTGCAGGCTATTTGTTATTTGTACAATTTTGCGTACACTCAAACACAAACAAAAAGCACACTCATCAACAAAAACCACACACACACACACGCTCAAAACAAAAATCCAGACAATACCACGAGGACTGCAATTGGTTCATTACTATTCGCTTCTCAAGCACTCAGAAAATGGGTCCATCAGGCTCACGTGGACCAGTACATGTCTTTTGAAACACCCAGGGAAGAGGACTAAACATCACACCCTAGAATTTCTAACCCGTGCCTAAATTGAGGTTGCAACTACTTGACGCCAAAGCACTCAAGATTTTTCTTTCTTTTCCATGGAAAAGCAATTCTGATTCATACGGCCTAAATGCTCTGACATTCACACAGCGATGTACAAATTTGTTTTGTTTGGCCAATTTATGTACGTGTCCATACACCAAATGTACAAAATGCCCTTTGTCCTTGTTGCTGAGCAACACCATCTGTGTAATTTGTACACAAGCCCGACATCCTGCATATTACTTGCACAGATCAACAGCATACATGTAAACATGCATGTGTACAACTGAATAAGTGCAGTCTATGTGCACGACATACTGGAAACACGAGCCCATTTGCCAGTAGCAAATTATTATCAAATGACAGTGCTGTGCACAATGCAAATTAGGTAAACCTCACAAGTGTAGAGGTACATGCACTCCGGTACCAGTCTACAGGAGCCGTTCATCATGACAGATATGATGATCACTTTTTTAACGCATGTTGATCGCTTTGCATTTACGCTATAGCAACCTTCACACACCACACCAACACATGTACTGAGCTTTTATGAAGCATGTCAATGAATCCTCGATTCTTAACAGCACGCATACACCTTTCAACTTGACCCTGAGGGGTCATCCTTGTTTCTTTCTTCATCCTTTTCATGAACATACAGACCATATGACAAGAGCTACGTGTGCTTAAAAAACAATCGAAATTGATGAAAAAATACAATCATCTGTTTTTCTGCTTAGTCTGCTCTAACAGAAGAGGGATTATGAAAGCAGTTTTTATACCCGGCAAGATATGGGACAGAGGGGTACCCCCCCTTACCTGTCCAATCCTATACGCACTCCAGACTATTGTTGCCTAACACATCCCCCCCAGAAGTCTGTAAAGAATTCCTGAGATTCCGATCAACCAATGACCAACACAAAGGCGGGGGGGGGGTTCTCTCCATCCCATATCTTACTTCAAATAGCAGTTTTGCCTTCGTGCTTGCAACTGACAGACTTTGGCATATCATGTATTTTTTAAATTTTTTGTTTTCATTCTGTTTCCTCTGACGTTATCTGGTTAAATCTCCACGTAGATGGAAACTTATATTGCACTTGAATGAACTGAAATGAATAGAATGGGACAAAGAGGATTAGGACAATGGTGACTTCTCTTAAAAAAGAGACGAGTCTTGGGACCTTGTCACAGGGAGAGGGGAGTATAAAAGTGCCCTCTTTATGGCCACCTTTAATTGATGCACTTTACTGTGCCTGAAGCAGTGCTTTAGCGTAGGAAGCGAACCAGTCACAAATTCCACAGGTACTGTCAAGGAACAAAAGGGGGACAGAATGGAACCTCATTTCACATGAATGTGATAACAATGATCATTTACAATGTTTCGGCAATGGGATCGCTGAGAGGAAAATAAATTTAAAATCAGCTGAGCAATGCAGATCTTTGATAATGGAAATCAGCCTCACCAGTAGGAACAATGATGGTTGGCGTCACTGTAGTGACATAGCATACATTTAAGAACACCCAAGGGAGTTGCCGTCAACTTTTACCCAGCCAGTAATTAGACTGTGTCCCAAATGAGTTTCCAGAGCTACAGCTAGGTCTAGATTATCTGTGCGTCTGCATATTTCCAATGGAGTGAAGACCTACATGTAACAGACTGAGATGTGGCCTGAGCTGTACGTATTGGAAACCCTTTGCCAGCCTTTCGAAACTGACAGCACTCTGTTAAATTTCCTGGTTTTAATGTCATTGAAACTAACAATCAAGGGTTTTGTGTGGTGCAGCGCCCACTTGCCATTAGGACCAATTTCACAATGATGTGCTACCAATTTTAATTACTGGCTAAGTGCACAATTTCCCTCTAACCTGTCAACCAAGTAGAAAGGCTGGGCCGACTGCCTGGTTCCAAGTCCCAATCTACTCAGGTGTTGGGGAATGCTTGAGGGATGGGAATCAGTCTACTTTGCCCTCCCTGGTACATGCGCATTAAATAAACCCGGGAGGGCATGTGGCAACAAGTGAACTGCAAATGCCGCCCAGGAGTGCATGCATAGAGCCAATAGAACACAATCAGCGATGCAAAGAAGATCCAAACAATATCAATGATTGTTCCAGACTGACCTGCACCAGGAGTGGCTGTCGTGGGTGTGGTAACATTTTCTGCAAGGAAAAAACATCCAATGAAAAAGGCTCAATTGAGTTTTTATTACACAGAGTTATACAGGATGTGCAGAGTTGCCATGACAACGTCACTTAAAATATTTTGGCTGCTTGAAGTCGGAGCGCCCATAATTTAAAAGAGAGAGACAGCGTAATTTTATCTATAGGCACAGCTAACACAATGTTTTTTTGGGGGGGAAGGGTTGCTCATTTGTTTCTTGAAAATTTGGGTGGGTTCGATGCTGTATAGGATATTCCAAGAAGATTTGAATGGTTTTTTTTCAAATTAGACTGGGAATGAAACTCTATGTGCCTGAATTTTTGGAAGGTATAAAAGCAAGGAAATAAATTTTGATTATTTTTAGAAAATTTTGACCATTTTTCAAACCATCCTGTAAATTCTGTGACAAATTTCCATTACATAAAAGAGGGAGATGTTGGAGGAAGGGACTACATGTAGGTTTTGTTCTGTGTTAGGGGTGTGTAAGTGAAATAATCGAAGGTGTGTGTACATAGCGTGTTGATTGAACATTCATTACGCACGTTGGTGTGGTGAAAGATGTTTGTCTATCAAAAGCCTATATCTTGGTGCTCGTGTTGTGAATGAGTTTTGGTGGTGAATTGCAATGGAGTTATTTCTGCTTCATTCACAAAACTCTTACCAGATTCTAAAAACATCCAAATAATGGGGACAAAATCTTATCTTATTCAAAGTTATACAGCATGAATGAATACATACTATATAAAGTTTGTCAATAAAAAACAAACAAAAAGCAAACCGATCACAGCAAACCAAACTTAACCATTGTTTTGTCAGTGTTTAACTAGGGATTAGTTTAAAGCAATGTTAATGCCATGCTGAAAAAAAGTTCAACTTGCTGGCACTGCTAGTATGGGGAGACTTTGCAGAATGAAGAACCTGAAAAAAGCAGAAAATGTAAATATAACAGAAATATAAGTCAACGCTCAGCGAGCAAGATGGATGACTTGAGCGACTAGTACTAAATGATGCATGGCGCTCGATGGAAGGTTCATATTTCCAACAGGAAGGTTTTCTTGGTTTTCCTGTTTTCCCCGTCTCTTGACTGACTCAGGAATTTCCCTAATCTGCCCTGATGTTGGATTTTGTTTTCTTTTTGATTTTGAGATGAAAGTGATATATATTTATGCTTGTCTCCTTTGGACTGAGTTTGTCACTCAGGGATATCTGTGCTACTGTGCATACTTTTGGCAGATTCTGACCAGATGGGCAAATGTGTTTACAAGTTGACAGTGCATCACTCGGTAAACAGACAACATTGGAAAGGTAAACAAGAATATAATATATTATATTCTGGGGGGGGCACAGGAACAGTTATTAGGGGAGGGGGTGTGTCCCTCATGGACAATATCGTCTATGTCATTGTATCTGGAAGCAGAGACGTCTACTAGTCTACCCTACGTCATCTCCCTACCTCCTACAGGGATGGCATTACCCACATCTGTTGTGGATGAGGTATAGCCAGGCGATGTGGCAGTGGATGAAGCTACTTCACTTGTATGGCTACCAGGCCATGATGAGGCCATGCTGGCACTAATTGGTGGATGAGTGGCTGTGGCTAGTCAGCATGTAATGAATATTCAAGCTTGTTAATATGCGACTGCCTTTTGGCAAGCAATTCAATGATGCTTAAAAAAATGGTGGTTTCCCAAATGCAGCGCACATTAAAAGTCAGTTTTTTTTAATGACATGACAGCAAATCAAACATAGATACAGTTGACTCGCAACACAAAGAACATTCATAAAAAGGGCAAATTCTGAGGGTTCTAACTTCTTGAATTCATTTGGTTTTTCTTCATTTGTCCAGTCCTTTTCATAGAAGAAGGATCAAATAATAAGAAGATAATTTGGCAGGTCCATGCAAAGCTGTAAAGAGAATTGACTGTTCTAATAATGGCCAGCATTTCAAAAGCTCTTCAACGAAAAATCGTGTAAACTAAAAAAAATGATCAGACATGCCTGGTGATGAATGTAAGCAATACTCTTGTAAGCGATGTACAGGTACAATAGGTGGAATACATGTGAGTTGGAGACAGTGGGACGCATGCAGCAACATGAATTCTATGGCAAGGATGTAATCTCAAGCTTAAACTGTAGTAGCCATGAACTTAGTATTATGCTCAACAATGAAACTTGTTATACGGGTGTACCTGCGAGGCAGTTAAAAGATTTGATACTCTTTCCACAAATAACCTCTATCAATTGCATCACTAACAGATGGTGCCAAATGAGCCCTTCTGAACAGATATTACCAGGAAAGTCTCTGTTCATCTGTGCAGTGCTATACGAGCATAGGAGTCCTGATACAATGTCAAATGTAAGAGGTGGTTTGTAAAAACCACAGCTAGGTAGTTACGCAGCAAGTTTTGGATTACAAACTGTGTAAACACCCGTTAACCTTTGGTTTCCAACTGTGTTACTCGAGTGGCTTTTCTTTGGATGTGGGCATATCATATGTACATATCACTATTCATTTACTGAATAAAGAGAACCTTGGAATCAAACAAGTAGAGTAACCGGAATCTTTTTTACCTGCTTTCATAAATTTCGCAAATTCAAATTCTAAGCTTAATCTTCAACTCAATGGAAATTTATTGTCACGGATTCATACATGTATTCCAACCTTCAATGAGATGCAGTTAAATGTTATTCTCTGTCAGTGTTAAATAAATGTGTACAGTTTTGTATATTTTGTGGGAACTCCAAATGAACCAATGCCGCAAAAGATGTTGAAATTCACAGAATGACGCTAACTCAGCCCGGCACTTAGGCATTTTGACTTTAATAAAACATTAACCAGGATACCAGTTCATTACCGGCTCTATGTGTGCAAGCACAGACGCTGTACTGATGACAAGTACAAACTTTGGCACTGATACTTTGCAACATTGCCTGAGCTCCACATTTGCGCAAACGGTATAAAACTCCATTTTCCTTCAGACTGCAAGAAAGGCAACTGCAGTTTCTGAAATGTGTACCATCATTCCCATAGAACGCGTTTCAGATTTAATTTTCAGTGTTTGAAGTCATGGCATATCCTGAGATGCACCTATATGTACATGTACATACATTGCACATGGAACACTGAACGGGTTTACACAATAAGCAAAGGAAATGTAAATGTATGACAAGAAGCAAATAATATTGGCAAAGCTGGACTAGGGCAGGATGTTCTTTACTGGCAAAGTACCAGAGTCATGAGAGTGGTGAGGAAGTAAACGAGCAGAGGAAACTGTGTAAAGGAGTAACGGCAAGTGATGAGGAAATGTATCGTTCACAAGACAAAACTCAATTGCTTTGCAGGATATGGGCAATGGATCCAACCACAGGCAACAGACACCAAGGGAGAAAAACACTTTTTTTCTCATTCATGTGCTTTCTGCCGCATATGGCTTCCGCTTAAACTAAACATTCCAAGCACTCAAAATCAACCATTCCATTTTACAGCAGACCAGAGTTTCTGAGTTAGTTTTGAATGCAGGAAAAGGATCAAACTGAGAGAGGGTGGGTTAATTGAATGCGAGGGGTACATAGCAGGCACATTATCAGATGACAGAAGGCACCTGCCCTGCCACTTACATCTCACTGGAGAAGGTGTGGTAATGGGCGGGTCAAGGGTGTGGTCAGAATACCACCTACAGTGGTAACCATGGGTGGGGCAGGACGAGAGGTTGTAAAATCGTCAGAACGGCTGCTCACAAAATTCGAGACTGCTTCAGTGTGTGGATCTGGAGTCGAGGCTGGTATCAAAACAACAGCTATTTGAAATTACTGGGCACTTTTTGATTTGATTGACAGATGCAAGCAACAGTTCAGTAAAGTGGTGAGAGAAGGCAGAAAAATTACTGCATGTGCTTTCATAATGAAGTATGAGCATTTGGGTGTTTAACCCCTTCTCGACGGGAATTTCTTTCTGAAAGCCGACTCCAAGAATTCCAGCCTCGCTTTGCCATGAAGGCCACCTGCCAAACCACAAATTCTCGGGTTGGGGCCCAGCGTGCTCTGCACGCTTTGAATTACGCCATGGAAAGGTTGATTGTTCAGTGTCATGCGCTCTACTCACGCTTCCACATTCCCGTTGCCTCTTTTCAAAGTGGGGACTATTGTGAAGCTGGTAATTATGATGCAAATTCGGTCTTTTCATTTCTGGGCTACACACAAAGACCAATTACCATATACACAAGAGCCAGGGTCTGCCTTCTTTCACCGTGTTCGCTCGAGCATGGGCCGAGAATAATAGCTGAAAAGCGGGCTGAGGATTTCAATTTTTACGGCGTGTTTTAACGCGTCCCAGCGTGAAGGGGTTAATGAACCGCATGTATGCCAACTAAAATGTTTATGTCCATTTATGTCAACTTTTTTTTTTTTCCCAATTTTTACCCTTAATTTTTACAAATGTCTTCTAACATTTGGAATGTCGGCAAAGATCTTACTGTGAATAGTCACGACAGACTGAGACTCCATCTCACTTGTCAGGGGTGAGCCCTGTGGACTGCCCTGGCCCGTGCTGTACATGTAGGTTATGGTCCCTGTAATAGTGCTGAAAACGCCTGCGTACACGGGACAGTTAGTATGCTTAGAGCATTTTCAAAATGAGTGGATTCGGCTCAGAATTTGGTTTTGCAAGTTCCAGTCAGAGCTTGAACATGTGGTTTCAAAATGCTGCTTCAAAATGGCTGGAACCAGCAAAACCAAAGACTAAGCCAAATCCTCTCATGAATTTGAAAATGCTACACATTGTATGTTACGATGTGAGACAATTGTGCAGTTAATTTAATTTCAACATGCTCTTCCTTTTTTGGTTTCGAGTCATTTCCTGTCAAGTTAAGGCCGAACATTGTTATATGCTGATACAAATCCAGATGTTGCAATTAAAGATAGATAGAAAAAGATACACATCGATGTGTTACCATCATGCAAGCCAGCTTCAGAAAGAATAGAAAAGGAACCCCAACATACAGGACATGGCATGTATAATCTAAAAACACTTTCTAAGTGAATGCAGTCACACAATTTGAAATACGCATTTTCAAAAGGCACTTTCACACAATGGTATCTTATACAAGAGGCTTGGGCAAAGCTTGAAGTAGATAAAACTATTTATTCAGTTTATGAAAACAAAATAAGACTCCGTATTAAATCACAAGGAAACTGTGAATTTTTTTGTTTCCAACTTAATACTGTTCAATACGGGCAGTGCAAAAATTGCTAGAATCTGAGCATTTGAGTCAGTACTTTTGTCACTGATGTCGTTGGAAACATGAACTCTGACCCTCTCATCTTTGACAGCATAAAAATTCTGAATTTTGTCAGTACCTGTGTCGGGTGAAGATGTTTCAGCTGCTGTTGTCTCTACAAAAGTTGAAGTAGGCTGCTCAGTGGTTGTTACTGCATTTTAAGTAATGAAATGTATGTTTTTGTTTTGGCATAATAACAGACATCAAGGGCATTGCATACACAGTTAACAACAAGCATAAGATTTACATGTAGAACTTAGAAATGACCACAATCTCCTGCGGCACAATCATGTACAAACTCTACAGCATTTGAGGATGTAGAAAAAGAAAAAGTAAGAAAATCTTGACAAAAATAATAACTTTCCTCGTTAACATGAAGAGTCCTACCTACTGGAACCAGATACATGCCTTTTTTCCTGCACGGTCGGGCATAGGCTGCCTAATGCATAGTTCATGACATTTCAATCCTACCAGTATCTTTTCTTTCTCTTCGATCTCCTCATAGCAATCGGAGAAGTACCAATTTACAGCACTGTCAACCATATCTGCTTATACTGTGTTTATAAATTCAGGACACACTGAAGTAAAACCTCATTAACGGCAGGTAATGCTTGCTGTGACATTTCAGTTACCATGGCTACAAGAACATATGTACATGTATGTCTTCTACACCACCTAGTCCAGCTGCGTTCATTCCTTGCAATCCATGCACTTGAGATATTAAGATGAAAAAATGATGCACATTAAAAGCATTGGTAATTTATCATGATGCAAACCACTCATGTATTCAACTGCTCGTGTCATCATTTATCACTATCCAAACATTGAACAGGGATAAATTATGCAAACTGGAAGGAGATCATACGAGGTCATCATTTATTTTTGGAACTACTCTGAACTACTGCTGAGCACGCGTTACCAGGGTAAAGGTTCAAAATGCCCCTTGTTGATCTGGAAAACAAATCCATAAGCTGCCCAAATGAGATTCTTGGAATATTAATATGAAAACCGTTTTTACTACAATTAAGGTATGTTGCTGCACCTTAATTACTGGTACACCTGTACTGTAAACCGATGAACAAACTCACTTTACATTCACATAACTTTTAGAAACCATGACTTCCATTTCAAGTAGAAAGAAGAACTTTTATTTCTTAATAAGAACCAAGAGTAAGTAAAGATCCAATCAAACTGATCTTTTGGAGTCTTTCCATTCTAAGCATGATGTTTACGATCTGATCATTTTTCTTGAGGAAAAATGCATGAACACAAAAGGTTTTTTCTAGCCTTTTCCCTTTGACGTTAGCCAAATCATAGGATTTTTTCACCCAATACAGATCCGATATATTGTACATGTATATGTAGAATATGGATTGGTTACTCAATGGTTTCAGTAGGGTGAACTATGATTACAAATTTATTACACAAAATATACTTCCGAATCTTCAGTGGAGCTTTCGCATGTTACATTGTATGGCAATGTCAGCAGAAGCTACGTGTATAAACAATGTACGTTGCCATCATCGCTATGACAACCACATGCATGCGACAATGCAGTGAAGATGTCAACAACTTGGAAAGTGCACGAACAGAGGTGGGCATTCAGTACAGATGAAACCATCATGCAACTCACATAAACAAATGACTCGTACATAGATGTAAGCACTGGTACATGCATGTACATGTACATGTACATGTGCATATTTGTATTCAATACGTACAGTGTAGTCCCAATATAGAGTGCTTCCTGGACACTGGGATTGGGAACAACATGGGGGGTGTATTTCCGGGAGGCCTAAACATTTTAAAATTTTTACATAACACTTTTATGGTCTTTTTTAGAGGTAAGGCTATGGGGGCTTTTTACATGCTCTTGGAGGTAGAGAAAGTGAAATAGACTCCCAACATGTTTCTCTTATTAATTTCCAAGAGGGGAAGGCATGGCTGCCATTTTTCCAGTGTATGTTGTAACAATGTCTCCACTTTTTATTTTCCAAAAATTGTTACCTAAAATATTCTTAAAGTTTGAAAATCAAAAAGGCATTTTTTGGAAATTACAACAAACCTGAATGGGTGCCCCTCAATTTGGGGAATTAATTCATTAACTCAATCTAAGTACGCACGAAAGCCCGTAAAAATTTCGACCCTGACAACTTCAGGTTAATATTTCTTATATCCGGTCACACTCAACTTCGTGTTTTCAAAAATTTGGGAACAAAAATTGAAAAGGGTCCACTATGCTCCTCAAAATGAATAATTGGAAAATAATATTGAAACAAGTTGAGTTTGTCAAGTACATGCTGCAGCACACTTCATACAATTATGCAATCTGTATACAGATACCATTATATGCAAACTTATACAAAAAAATTACAATATGTAAATGTCACTCTCTAGAATAGGTTTGAAGTTTTTGCTTATAAATGCAAAAGTGTGTCTAGCCAAGCAGTCATCTACATGTATCAACAATGAACACTGCACATGCAACACTGGGTGGGGTCAAGAATTTGTGAAGAACACGCCATGCAATCAAACCAAACGAAATCTGTGTTGTCCAAACCAGGTGCAAGTTAGTGAAGGCCAACATAAACTTTGGAGACGCTTTAAGGAATTCCCCAAATTTGTGCAATTTTGATGTTTAATCCCATTAACCCAACTGACAACCAATCAAAATATTATATACATGTGTAGATGTAATTTAACAGCAACGTTTTTGACAACAAAATCCCATGAATTGGTGCTTCCTCTGAGTATTAAGTAATGATTTGTAATTTAAATGAAAAAAGGTAGTTACTATTCAACATCTTCATTAATATTAACTGTTTTGAAAATCAAGTTTTTGAAAACAAAATTTATGTTGGCACACAGAGCTTTACCGAAACAGGAAAACAACCCAAGAAAGACAACCAACACACCGAAAAACACACACACACATAAAACATGAAAAAAAAAATCTGCTGAAATCCTCCAAAATGAAAAAAAAAAAATGAAAAGAAGAGACATACCTTCTGGCAAGCAGGGCGACAATGTTTCAGTAAGATTTGTGTTGTTGATGCACTTCCTTAAATCTGTAAAGGAGAGATATACCATGCCATCAAAGCAAAGCCAGTTTTTAAGTCAATATCTTAGGCGTGTAGTTGTCTTGAAATTAAAGTTTGCATTATTACTCGGTGCCCATATTTAAAGCAGTTTGAAACTGATGAGACCACCCTGTATAAAAAGACAGCAAATTTATAAAAGGTGTGTGGTTTTGCTTCCACAGGATCATGTATCTCAAAAGAACAGCATATATATGAATTGTCTATGGAGGCTATGCGCGGTAGCCATCTTGCAGGGTAGTTCTTTTATTCTACCGTACCTGTATATCCTGTGAAACAAAAGCACTGGCCTATGAGATGGCAGCCATGGAAACCTACAATGTGTACCGTATATTCTAAACAAATGTACACTTTGTTCTCAATTTTCCTAGAAAGGTCAATTACTAGAAACAAATTGCATTACCTGCAGTTCTAAAAGTCTTATTTCTCACTTAATATTTTGGCTCACTGCATTTCATATCACACCCTCGAAAAACGAAAAACAAGTTACTCACCAATGATATCAGAAAAATACATCACCACCTTGTCTGAGCAGTATTCATTATTCAATCAAGACCAAAGTACATAAACCAAATGGAATTGTACACAATTCAGGCATTATTTCACCATCCTTTTAGTGATTAAAGCTTCTCATGTTGGTAGATTTTTAGAACAAGAGTATACATGACCACAAGGTGAAGAAAACAAGCAAAATGCTTTTACCTGGGAAAGGAGGTAGCTTTGGCGGGTCACAATTGTCAACAGTACAGTTTCTGCTCCCATCAGAGTTCTTCAAACAGAACTGAGCGCTCACATGGTAGACGCCAAGGACGCAAATGTACGTCAGTGCATTCGGGATGGACCACACAGATGCCATGCTGTCCAGATACCAGCAGCTTTACGGCACAACAACCCAAGTTCCAGTTCACGTTTTGTTCGCGCAGCTGCTTCTGCTGATCATGATAATATGGCTGCAGTGCTCATATCCACAAATTAAGCGGACTCAGTCATCGGTTCATCCACTGCTTTTCAGTTGACACAACTAAACGATAAACCTACAAGGAAGTCTGGTGCTGAATTGATTACCAGGTCTCTGTCACGGTTTAGTTGATAATCCTTCGCTCCGGCTGTAAACAAAAATATATTCAAAAATAAACATAAATAATCAGACATAACGATTACAGTCTATGAAGAAACATAACTGCAGAAAAATCTTTCTTTTCCAACTGACCATCAGTCAAAGACAGTTTGCCTCTGATTCAGGGAACAGTAAAATAAAGCACGCTCCAGTATAACAGTTTGAGAAACTCCTGCTTTAATGCCCAGGACGTAGCCTATTCCGTTTTTCAGATGTAGGCCATTCACTTTCATGAGCATTAGGGCTGGAGTTCCTCACTCGAGCTACGTAAGTATACACAAGAGCAAGGAACATTTCAAGGAACTGAGTGGAGATAACAATTCAATCCCAGCCCTGCAGTCGTGACGGTACAGGGATATGTTAAGCAGCTGGGCGCGCCTACGCCATGATGTACACATAATGTACACTGTACATGTACGTCTATGCTGCAACCATATACACCGTACGAATTGCCAACTGAACTGGGGCCAAAATTGTGCCTAAAAATTACAACACGGCCTCAAGCATCATTGGTACAGAAGAAAAGATGTCCATCCCTCCTTGTTCTCACTTTCATGGTGAGTTCATTTCTACTCTGGACTGTGGTACTTACGTTAATAAAGCTAATAAAGTCGTCTGCTCAGAAGGGATAAACATTCATCGCTGAAATGTCCAAGTAGGCTACACAGTTCAGACTTTGGTCCAACTGCGGCCGACCGGACAAGCACTCCGCGGCACAAGCTGTTGTACTTGCGTTCCCACCAAATTCAAAGAGCACCGAAATGCAAATATTCAAACTACAATGACACTGAGAAATTCGAGGAAGGCTGGCAGCGGCAACTATTAATTCTCGATACGCAAAGATACAACTGGGAATCATTGAATAGCCATTCAATAAAAAAATACAGCGAAATTAACCCGTGCAAGGGAGAGAAGCGCGAGCGATGCAGACTGAATGTAACGCCCGTGTATTGACCGATTGGGCGTGTGATCGATATGAGGTACAGGTGCAGACGGCTAGCCGCACGTACGTTCGCCTTGGACTGAAAATCGGGGAAGTCCCCGCTAAAGCCCATCGAGCATCGTTGCCATGGCACGGAGCAAGACATTTGCAGTTAAAGGGGGCGTGGACCACTGACTGAGGAAAATAAAATGAGGGGAAAAATACCTTCAAAAATGAAAGGGAGAAAAAATTGTCGGTTTTGTACCTTATCAGTTTCATGCGTTTTTATTCTGTTCTCAACTGCTAGAGGGAATCTGTACTTGTTTCCTACCGAACAAGTTTTGGTCGGGGGAGAATTATTTTCTTGCACATGGAATTTACTCCATGTTTTCGTGTCTGCATGGATATAATATTCTCACATTCCCTTATCCCCATACACAGTGCTGTGCGATTAGGTAGGACGATAAAGGCAAATAAAAGAAAAATAATAATTTAAAGGATCTCCACCTGAATGACGTTGGACCAATGACTATCTTCGTTTCTCGGCTACTTGCAGAATAAATAAGTTTAATGACGTTACAAAATAAATGGTCAAGTACAGAGTGGCGGCGGGGAAAATCGGACGCCGAGTTCGCCTTGAGAATGGTTTCTTAAAGAAAGAAAGAGAAATATAACTTGAAGCTTGGAGACCGAGACTTTTCCTCTTTATCCAAGCCTGGAGTTTAGTTTTCTTTCCGAACTTGGAACAAGGTTTTGTCCAAATTAACCCAACCTCAATCTATATTCCAGCTCATTGCAGTTACTTCCGCAAATACAAGTCACTAATGCTCAAAGTGGTCGTCGCTTTTTCATAGTTCGACCACTAGGGTTCGACCCTATTCATGGTTCGACTCGTATCAATTGTATGCATTCATCAATAGCGCCCTCCTTGTATGGTCTGCAAAGATGCATCCACCGCGTACCGCCAAGCAGAAGCGTACTGAAACAAGACTACTGCATAAAAGTCAATTCAGTTTAAAAACAAACAACTTTCCTGAGGAGTTTCCCAAAGGCCAGCTTTGTGCTTGATAACAGCTGGATCAAATCAGGAAACGACAGCAATGGCTCGTAATTACCTTGCTCTCAAGTTACAATTTTTGCATTAATTTTGCATTTCTTTGGCAAATTCAGACTTGTTTAAAGACTATACATTGCGCACTGCAAATTGTGTAGCTCCCAATATCCTCCATGGAAATGCCAATTTCTAACAGACTCAATTTACGAGGTGCAGACTAAATTGTTGGTGATGTAACATGCGGTCCTCTTGTTGCCATACCACTGTCTGTACTGTGAAAAAGAACCACATTTCAGAGTAAAATGGGTGGATGGAAATTGGAGACCGCCCGAGTAAGTTCTAATGTTGTATTTTATGTTCAGAGTTAAAGATCAAATAACTTTGCCATTTGCTTTTAACCAACACGCCAACACCTATAAAATACGAAGCCTACAATTATCCTGATTATACTAAGCGTACATTCACCACTTGCGATATTTCAAATTGAGCAATCGATTATGACGACAAGGAATAGGGATTTCCCCTTATTATCAGGAATATGAGTCTTGCTATGCAAAGCAACATAAAATGCGTTTGTTTTCACCTTGCACGAACCTGGGGTCACACAGAGTTGCGTCTGCAAATTGGAACAGACTGACTGTGAACATGGTGAACCAGTTCTCAATCGTATTGTTTGGTACCCCAAAGTTAACGATATGACTGAAAATGTGCAGTGTGCACGGTGTGTGTTTTGTAGAAATGTGAAATGTTTGAAATCTTAGGCCCGTGTCCTTTATCAATCACCTGGTTTGGATCCATATTTATGAATCCAGCCTGCTGAGGCATGTTACTTTGTTAAGGCCCGAAGAAGGATTTACCGTCTCCTGAAAGAGCATACAATTTGAACAAAATGAAGATTAGGCCTATTACAACTGTACACCTAGGCTGCCCATGCCAGAACTATGGGGTTCATTGTCTGCCATGTTACCACCACCGTGACCATCACCACACTCGTGGGAGTGCGGCAGACAACGTACCCCACAGTACTGTGCAGCATGATGACTATGATAGCTACGTTCGCAGCTTAAGATGAAATGCATTCTTCCCTCTGTATCCACAATTTACATCAATCTTATTTTGTGTGTGACGGTGTCTGGCGAGGAAAACGTAATAACCTGTTAAAAATTAGTCTGTGTTCAAATACTTCATAGCCATTCTCATGTACAAGATGAAACTTCTGATAAGAAAGAACTGTTTCTCAAGGTCTGGAGACCCTGATTGATAAAGTTGGGATCATTTTGGTATCTGTATCTTGTGCATGAAAGTAAAAGTAAACAGTGCGTAAAAAGTGTCATTTGGGCAGTGTAGACTGGTTGTCATCTACTTCCATTTCACTAACTTGTAAGTCACCAAACCAGACTGCAACAAATGATCTCAGACTTGGCACCCCTCTATTTCTTCCGGAGGTATGAATCTATCAAAAAAGATTTACATCTATGACCGTAAAGTCACCAGGTCCCTCATTTTGTTACTCATGGTCAAGTCTCGATGGTTTTCATAGAAAGTGGCGAAATAAGGAATTTGGCGAATACACATCATGGACATTAGAAAAACATCTGTCAAAACTTGGAGAGTAAACCTAAAATGTGATTTGAAGTCCAACTCTGTACTGAGTCTGATTTCCAGCTTGTGAATATGAATTCAAAGTGACAATGTAAGTATTGCATCCGTATAGATAACCATCATATTTAACTCTAATAAAGTCTGTGAATTTTGTTTTCTATTCTTACAGATGGGCATCTATGTGTTCTTCCCAGTGGTAATGTTTTACTGTTTTAACAGGACAGAGCTGTTTGAAAGATACGTCACAGAGAGAATTGTGAGTGATCTAGCGTGCTTGACATTGTAGGACAATATGGACATTTGTGAAAATCATTTCAAGCTCAGAGCACAAGACTCAAGACTTGTATAAATGTGAATGTCCAATTCTTGACAAGATCTCTTGGCCATTTCTTACTCTTGTGGCTAGCAAAAGGAAGATTACAGAAGAGTACAAAGGCCCAGGCATTGGCTGGCTTGAAAGTGACCCAGCCTCACCTCTAGCTCCAGGTTGCTCCCTAACATTGTACCAACATTTTTCTTATTTTTGATTACTTTTGCAGAAGTTGTTGTACCCCCCGGAAAGCAAAATGCATGTAAGTATTCGTATTCATAGCCATTTTTTAAAGTCCCCAAATTCAGTTGTTCACACAGTATTTTCATTTTGTAACCATTTTGTGTTTTAATCATTTCCTTTAATCAGGTTTTAGTGCAACTTTTGCATCACTTAGTTTTATATTTTCCATTAATTTGGGGTTGATCACGGGGCTGATATCTATTTTGATATACATAAAGGTCAAGTGAGTGGATATTTTGGAATTTAAATTGGCAAAGCTGATTTCATGTTTGTCTGTGCCCGTTTACCCGAATACAGAAGAAGGAGTTTGATGAACTGCGAAACAGGATGGAGGAGAGGGTGGCCGCAAAGCAGAGGAAGCAGGAGGAAGAAAGTTTGCGTCTTATGGAGGCCGCAAGGGCATCACAGTCCTCCTCGTAATGCCACCGAGCATGACCTGAGACTGGTTGACGTGGCGTGGCCAAACCATTCAGTGCTAGAGAAATGAGCTACTGAGGACTTGAGACTCGTTTGTGTGAAGGATGTCAGCATCATCCCAGGGAGCAAGACATCCTACATCATTCTTGTTGCCAAGTTGACAGGATGGATGCTACTGGTCAGAAATATTACTAATCCTGAACGCAGGAGTCGGTTTTGAAAACCCAAAACTGATGGCTGATTTGCTGGCAAAATCAGTGTGGGAATTGAGTGCTTGGATTCAGAGGCCTTTTTAAAGGTCCATTTCATAAACTGGTGAGCATGGGAATTCTCTCAGCATAGAAAATCATTGTTGAGCAAAAACAGATTAAAATGTCACAGGACGCCTCGTGCCTTACGCCAGTTCCCATCTAGATGGTGTTTTTCAAACATGTTTGCTTAGAAGTAATTTCTGGTCACCAGCTCCACTAAATCTGGCTCTGCCCATTGTAACTAGGCTCACTGATGAATAGGGGAGGGAGAGATGGAATAGATATCTCAGAGAATGTTTGTAGATATCCCGACTCTTGACTCACCTCTGATATCTTGTACCATCTGGTGGAGTTTGTGTGTGTGTGTGTGTGTTTGGCCAGGAATCAGCCATACCTGCGTGTACCTGTAGGTGCAAATCTCAATATGGATGAGCTGATGTTGGCATTGACACTGCTGTACCTGTGGAATGCATCAAAAGTTGACATCGTTTTTGTGTTTGAAAGCTAAGGATTCATTTCACACTAATGGGTTAGAACTCGGCCGTAATTTTGATGTTTATCTAGTCAATTTTTACTTCATTTCCGTTTCTTAATAATGAAGTTAAGTTTTGTTTTTCTGTCAATGAAAATATTTTTTTGTTTACAAGGCGTCATGATGGATGTCTGTAACTTTATCAAAGTACAGAAGATTAAATTCAAGGAATTAACCATGAACCTAACTTTTGTCCCTTTGAGATAAAATAATTATTAGTGTCTTGCATTGTTACTTACTTTGATGAATCATTTAAAGTTCTTTTCCTTGAAAGTATTAGTAAACTTAATTCATGTGTGATAATCATGCATCGCACAGATGCATAGTTAAAAGCCACATTCTGACACATCATTCTCATAGATATCATGTTTGTCACTATTTCAGTTCCAAAATTTTTGTTGTCAAAAGACAGTCCACTGCATGGGCACTTCTTATGTACACCAGTACTTACTGTGAACCATTGCGCAGGAGTTGCAGGCAAGTGTGAACATTGCTGTGGCAAGATGGTTGCACGCAGAAATGTTAATAGAGTCTTCCCTGTACTCAATGCCGTGTGAATAAGGCATGTTAAAACAAATACAACAAAATTTGGGGAGATTGTCCAATGTTTGCTCCCCTCGAGATTGGACGGTGACAAACTGTTTCCTTGCCTTGGGATTCAGTATTACTGTATGGGAGCTAATGTTGCCTATCCACCCTCATATGATATTTGTACTATTCTGGGGTGTTCCAAAAAAAGCCACTGGCCTGGGGGGCATGAAAATAAGGCAGAGCTTCAATAATCGATGGCTCAAGTAGTAAAACGCTTTCCGTCAGCCTGGCTGTTCTTCATTTGAATGCTTTTGGAATGCTTTGCTATTTCCTTGCAAATAAGTTCATAAAGTTTGTTCAGGGGATTTTCATTTCCTTCCTGTCGGGTTTTACCCCACCCTATTCAAGAGAGAACAAGGTACGTTTGTAAAGCAAAGCGTTTGTTATGCAGGTTGCCATGGAAACCAGATCTTATGACATTGAATGACAACATGACTTTACATGAGCCTGTGGGTCAGTATAACGTCATCATTGGCTTACTGGCTGGTGTTGGTTCTCGATTGGTTCAGGAGCTTCATGAAAAATTGTGTAATGGCGAGGGTTAATGCCGTCTAGGTTCGAAGCGACTCGATAAAACGAACAGTTAGTGTTCAGTGTCTTTGCAATGCACTGTTCTCTTGAATTGACAGAAAAAGGAAATTTTTTTAAAAAGTGGATCTGAAACATGCACAACTTGTGTGCATTCACACGAATTGAATCATTCCCTATTTTCCTGGGAGAGCACCTGCCTGGTCCTATTTTGTCTCAGCAAAGTGTGACAATTATCAGACGGTAAACTTTATTACCAGGTTGTGGGGCCTATGTATACAGAGAGAACACAATAAGCATATACCCCCCACATCAGCAATAGCCTCGGGCATGAACACAGACCATTACCAACTGCAAACCGGTCTTTATATTGGCTCGACTATTTTCTATTGATACGACCGTTGTGGAGTTTTTCAGTTCCCTTACGATATCACTTTGGTTAGTTCAGAGCTTTGTTCTCTTTTTGTTAATGTTCGGTGAGCTTTTTATCCTGCCCAATACCAGTGGCACAGCTTAGGACAACATCCAGGCCTGACTACATCAGACGATTGAAAAGCAGGTTGCCATGGACACCTGTCTCAAAGCCCCGTCAACATTTCTCGTCTGGGTTTTACCCTGATTGTTACCCCGCCAAGGGCCCATTCAGACCCAGAGAAACACAATGACACGAAGCTTAAATGTTGCATTCAATGAATGCATGAATTTATATTGCTTGATGCTGCTACTGAGATGGAGCGACCAATCGTGGCGCAGCATTCCCAGAATGACTTGGTGCAAGTTTTTGGCGCAGCAGTCTGCTGCTGTTGAGATTCTGGATATGTTACCGACTCTCCAAAATGGTAAGATTTTGTTTTTTGAACATGATCCAAAAGGTAAAACATGGAATTTTTATTAAAGAGAATCACACTGAGGAAGGAAAAATGATAAAAATGGAACAGAGCTTTCAAGTTAGTGTTTTTTTCCAACAAGCCTTCTTAAGCAGTCGCATGGTGCTCCTGTAGTTTCTCTGTTCCACAGTGACAAGGTTTGAAGGGTTTTTTGTTAATATCCATCATGTCTATGTCTTGAACCATCTCTATATTGTATGAATCTTACACTTGAAATTAATAATATATTCTTCCACCCTCTCATCAACATCATCTAGGATGTAACATGCACACCGGGAATCTGTTGACATTCAAAAGAGACACCACACCAAATCCACGCCTCCATTACTTTGACTTTGATCAGCTAGCTGGTTTCAGGGATTATGTGCCTCCATCGATAATCTCAGGAAGGAATTAAACTACCATAACCTACAGTGAACCATACAAGTCACCACATCCTCGGGTTGATCCAAGGGATGATAACTCCATCCACAAACGACCACTGATTTCAAGGCAGACAGAGTTGTGGATGTGCTTTACCCACCTGTGGATTCTGCTAATTGTATTCATCAAGATCTAGCTTGTTTAGCTGTGGAGGAACGAATACAGTGATGGCCCCAATGGGTTATCTCTTGTGTTTTCTGTCTGTAACATTCCTGTGTCTGGCCTGTACATCCTCAATGGCAGTGGATTTGTGTGTTCCAAATATCGGTGTCACCTGTGATTTCCCATGTCCCCGTAATGCGTCATCCGCCATGGATGAATCATATGACCAACCACCAAGTCTACCAGATTTCCTAGGTCAGAGTCGTATTTCTTCTTTTTAACCTCAAAAAGGATGACACTACAAAATGGCTACGATTATCTGGATTCTTCACGCAATGTTTTAGTCCAAAATAGCTCAGAAATGAGAAAAACCTGAATGATTAACCATGTACAATTCCACAATATTGGGAGCCAAAAGTCCTTAGAAATCCTGAGAAGTCACACTACTGATAAGAGCTGAGCTATCCACTTTCAAAAACATTCAACTACAGCTGAAGTACAGCTTGATGATAAAAATTTGACCACATATTTATTGATTCTATATCGGGCCAGTCGCAGCTGTACAAGATACTTGCAAACAAGTAAACAAGAATAGATTGGAGAATCCAAGTCCTCTCACTGCTTGCCATTTTTTTCTTTGTTCATACAGGACATTTCAACATTTCCCTTGTCTTTTTTACGCAGATGTGCAGTGCTTCGGATGCATATGTACACCTTGCACTACACCAGGTAAGTTGTCCCCCAAGTTCTTACCGAACATCACTGCAGAAAGTTAAAACTTGGGGTCCAATAAAACAGCATCTGATTTTTGTTTTGGAGGAGGCCTCGGTGTAATAGGTACATTGAAGCATTCACAAGATCTGATGATATGGGTAATCCCAGAAATTAGGGGTTCATTTTTTGGTGTCCCTGTCACATCTGACATGATTTTGTAAGTTCAGAACACATTTCCAAGAGTGATGAATTAATGCAAATTACCGGCCAAAATAATAGTAATAGTTTGAAATAAATTCTGGTGATATTTCCATGTCAAATGACAAAGGTCAGATGTAACAGGGACACAAAAAGTCACACTTTTGGACTCCTAATTTCTGGAATTACCCATATGGAAAAAGTTTCAACCCCCCCCGGTTCTATTAGTGTCAATTTGAATCACTGCAATGCTACTTAAGTCTTCAATTACTTCATACAATCATGTCCTCAGTATGATATTTTTACTTAAGTTTCCTCATCCAAGAACCTTATCACGGTGCATACCCTGTGCACCTGTCTCCCAGTTATTATCCGTCTGTGAATAGAACTGTTGCGGTTACTATGACGACGCCACAGAGGGTGTTTGTGTCATGGGCTTGATTGTGCTTACCTGAAGCCACAAGCAAACACTGAAACTCCATTGACAAAAATCACTTCATGGATGGGTGAACATGTATTTACCAAAGAAGAGAGTATTGCCATTTTCGTTCTACTTAACACTGCGTGGGGCTCTTTTTTTAAAGACTAGTTCCATTGACAGCTAGCTTACTATCGAGGCTGTCTATCTGTGTTGAAATGACGAAAGCTCAACTAGAGCTTGAACTGTTCTCCCTTTATTTTCCCTTTTTTTCAAGTTGAAATACTTTTTTGCGATTGTTTGGATCTTTTAGCAATAAATTTCCTCTTATTGTGGTATGTGAATACAAGGCTTACATGGAAGGAAAAAGCAAGGGCAGTAAACAGATGAAAAGGAAAAATTCAAAGTAAAAAGATATTGTACTGAAAAACTGAAATCCCATCCTTAAGCTGAAGTGATGATACTAACCGGAACTTTTTCAATCTGACACAATGCATGCTGCACAGAAAAAGTCTTTTTGAAACACTGCATTCAGCTAGGCCACCTTGTTAACACCAAGTTGACTACCATTGTGAAATTTAGTGTCCAGACATTTTCAGTCCACATGCTGGCTTTGAGGACATGTGGCTGCACAATAGGGCTTTATTCTATAAACAATAGTCCCCATTTTGCGTCCTCATCAAAGAATCCTCACCCCTTTCCCCCAGAGAGGTGGTAGCACCGGTGCTTTCCATTCTTAACCAAAAAAAAAAAAAAATGGAAACATATTTCCAGGGTGGGGAAAATCCCCCTAAATTATCCAAGACCCAGTAGTTTGTGTAGACTAGTTATCCAGTTTTTATCAAACAAATTAGCAACTACAACGGAGCCGACAACCATGGAAACATCAACAACAGGAACATCATCCACGCCCACAATTTTAACATCAACAACAGGTAGGTTTATGCTAAATTTATCTTGATAATTTCTTTGTTGTATCCAGTATAGGGAGGGGGCCGGGAGGGGGAGAGATATTGAACTTTGTCTTCTCAGTGGCTGAAAATGCTAGCCAGTTTAGAAATTGTACCACACCTCTTTGTACAGGTGGACGATCCTTTTAGGATTGAAAAAGTGGGACAGTTATTTCCAGGTGAAATTCCATGTTGTCCCCCCCCACTGAAGACTTGGATACACCATTAGATAACTTACACGGTTTGAATTAGGATAGGTTCACCAAATATTTAAATGCTTGTTTGTTAAATGGCTAGTCTTATTGGAATGTCAAAACAAGGAAGCAAAAGAAAACTGGCAGTGTGTAAAAATGATGAAAAACTTATTGCAACCAAGATACTTTTTAATTAAATTGTCAACAATCATTATCATTTGAGCTGCCTACACTGAAATTATACACATTTTACAAAATAGAAACGGCGTGTACTTCTCAAAGGCTAATTATCATGTTCAATCATGTTCTAACACAGCAACGACTGTGACAACACCAACAACGACGCCGTCAACATCAATTGCCACCCAGACAACTCCAACAACACAGACAGGTAGTGTTCACATAACTGTCCATTCTGAGACCAAGATACTTTTGTACAGTTAGACATGGCAACTATCATTACCAGTAGAGGGGAAGCCTAAACAGAAATCTTACACATATTGCAATGTGGATATTGAAATGGCTCATAGTTCTCCGAGACTAATTATCCCATTCAATCACAATTTGACACAGCGACATCTGTGACAACACCTACAATGCCGTCAACATCAACTGCCACTCCGACAACTTCAACAACACTGACAGGTATAGTGTTCACATAACAACCGTCCTTTCTGAGACCAAGAGTCTTTTTGTACAATTCGGTGTGGCAACAATGTTGCCAGTTGAGGGGACGCCCGAACAGAAATCTTACACATTTTGCGATGTGGAAATGGCTTTAATTCTCAAAGACTAATTATTTCATTCAATCATAATCTGACACAGCAACATCTGTGACAACACCTACAACAATGCCATCAACATCAACTGCCACTCCAACAACTCCAACAACACAGACAGGTAGTGTTCACATAGCTGTCCATTCTGAGACCAAGATACTTTTGTACAGTTAGACATGGCAACTATCATTACCAGTAGAGAGGACAGCTGAACAGAAGTCTTACACATATTGCAATGTGGATATTGAAAACGCTCATAATTCTCCAAGACTAATTATCCCATTCAATCATAATTTGACACAGCGACATCTGTGACAACACCTACAACAACACCGTCAACATCAACTGCCACTCAGACAACTCCAACAACACAGACAGGTAGCGTTCATTTAACACATATCATTTCTGAGACAAGCACTTCCCCACCCACAACTCATACAGACTTATTTTCCTCCAGAAACTACCTCCATAGGTACAGCGCGAACAACTTCTGACAGTGGTGCATCTTCCTCAGTAATCCCTAAAACTAGTTCAGATATGTTGTCAGGGACAGGTATAAGTTGGGATCAACTACCCCAGCAACGACCACATTTTTATGAAAACATTTGATTCAACCGTTGGAAGAATGGAACTTTTCTGGCTCCCGGACTGCCAAGCAGGCTGATGCCTGTAGAGTTGAGTAATCAGTACTTGTGAAGCTTGGCTGTTCACGTGGTACACCTGCAAAAAGTTGGGTGTGGATGGTCGCGCAGATCATAAAATGATGAGGTGATCCTCGAAGTCATTAGCAAGCCCTGGGATATAGCCCAAGTAAATGTCTCACCGAGTTCCTCTTTCTCATGGAGGACATATATTAACTAATACAAGATGCCATAACTGCAGTGACATGGCATTCACATCCACGTTCTTTTGAGCTTGACGTGCGTGCACATCTTGCAATTCACAGCACCAAGTTGCTTGAGCTGAGTAACGTGCGCGTACCACCTGTCAATGTCGAGTATTGTAAGTGTTGTCACTGCAATAAGGGATTCTACCTCCACGCTGAGTTAACACATTATACATGTACAATCTCACCCACAAATTCTATGTCTTGATTGGCTGAGACCATATCAAATTTATTGACAATACCTCACAACGTCGAGGCAGCCTCAATTCAGAAAGTGCTTTACACATAGCGACCAAAGCACCACATTATTAGTAACAGCAGTCCTGCAAACTAGACATGAGCATGTAAATGCACGTCTGTAGCGTGTTGTGTGTAGAAGTAATAAGAAACTTTTCAATGAATTTCAACTTCCGAGGCATATATGGATCGGCTTTTGGCTGAAATATGATATATGATAATATGAGATATATCTTAATAGACTGCGAAAACAAAACCAAAAATTCATTCAACTCAGGAAATTCAAATGCTAAATGATCACCTTGAGAGACTAGTTTTAGTGTATAACTTGAGGTAGTCTATACTTGTAAACTAGCGCACCACATTTCACATGGTCTTTTCGGCAGAAACCACCACATGGTCCACAATGACTGAACAGACAACACAGATATCTACAGGATTTTCCACCACACCAAGCATTGGTCCTCCACAAGAACGTAAGCAAGTTTTCTTTTAATGAGAAAATATTTGAACTGTCAACCCGCTGGATAAGAGAATTAGTTATTGGTGGTCAGAGATCAGAAATTCTGTTCATGTCTGTATCTTGTGTTAAGAGACAGGTGTGGGCCTTTGCCTGTTGTAAGTATGTGACAATAGGTGTTGCCATATGGCTCAGAAAGTACCTTTTTTTTCTGGCATACACCCAGAGAGTATGCCCAGGATTGGATTCAAAAGAGACACCACATCTGACAACTCAGTCTCCATGTTTACTGCAAAGTTGAACCACAATTCCTGGCCACCTGTAACCATGTCATATACTTTTGCCGAATAGCATCTTGTGGTCACCCGAGGCCAGTTTAAATTCCACCGAGACAGAGTAAACTGTCCTGAGTTTCAAAATTGTAGGGATCTTATACAGATCAATGTGGGGAGATATAGGAGAAAGTTAGAGTCCCCTTCAATAGTTATTTGGCCTAATCCGCCCTGAGTTGAAGTGCGCCCTCACCGGCAAAAGAAAAACAGTCTGGTAAGAAGTTTTCCAACCAGGTTTTTGCACTCTTCAGCGTGCACCTGAAGACCATACATTCCAGAATAAATTCATTGCGCGCACTATACTCGGCATGTTCCACCTCAACGTGCATTAACTTGTGCACATATGTGGTGAGTTTGTACCAAAGGACTGTCAATTTCATTTAAATTTCTACCTTGCCTCTCCTAGACCCAGGATCTGGATACATCACATGTGCCCTATAGGTGGGCCTTGTGTACAACGTTGCCCTGAACAGTTTACGATATATGGACGCAAAAAGCTTACCCTATTTACAAAACATAGAGCATCGTATGGACCACAGTTTATAGGTGTATATGCTGTACTGTGTTGCCATTGATAACCAATCAGGATCAAGGATTCAAAATACGCTTGAAGCTAATAATGACAAACAGGCTTTGAAATGTAAGTTAACAACAAGATCAGCAGTAGGTGTACGAGTGAACTCCTTGTGTAGATCAACTCAATAGAATTCTAACAGACTTTAAGACACATCTGTATTCATGCATGTTGGCAGAAGACTCTGAAATGATATCAAGGTGACTTCAACTGAATTTCCCCATTAAAAATGGCTGAACTTGCCTCTGTTGTTTTCTTTCAATAGTCAGGTGTTTCATTGCTTCCCTAATCATCGGCAGTTGGCTAATGGTATTTTACTTTACTGTCTGCGGATTCCTGTGTGGTATCTATCTCTGCAACGGGAAGGACGTAACACACAAGTGAGTGTCTGGACGTTGACTTTGCTTTGGTTTTATTTCACCTGCACAAGTTCTCTTCAGGATTGGAGGGGGGACAAATAGGGCCATGCCCCCCCAAAAGAAGTATTTTTATTGATTGTTTTTTATTTTAAAATATATATACAAAGATACGAGGATGACTTTTAAAACTACTTTATTTGCTTTCCTTCCCAAACTGTGCAGAGCACCCCTAATCATACATCCACGCCACCAAAAGACAGTTGGTCACAGTGGGGGATCCAGCATTTACTAAAAGGGGGGAGCATGTAGCATTTACAAAAGGGGAAGGGTCACCCATACGGACCTGGACCCGAAAATAAATGCAGATCTGGTATATGTTCAGTGGGGATTTGCATTTTTATAGATATTACGTAACCACTTGAGATCAATCCAACATCCCCCCCCCAAAAAAAGTTACAAAACAGATTTTTATTTTTTCCACAGCAATGTCCACCCGCAGTGTGATGATGAGAGTCCAAGACCAGACACGCTAAGCAGTAAGACGACAGAGAACTGTGTTAAGGCAGTGCAGAAATAAAAAAACAATTGTATATTTACAAATTTGTAGTGTCTTGGGTGAATGAGACATTGTTGGCGGGAATTAAATGGTATCGTGAATATTTATGTCCAAACATTATCATGTCAACATATGAAAGTCAGATTGGTAACTGTTGACTGAAGCTTATCGTTTATGTCAAGGTGCAAAATGCCATGAAATATCCAAAGTGGCCTCGATATAGCGCAGGTTCTGTACTTACAACCTGAACCTCTTCTCCTTTCAAGAATTTAGCCGAATGGTGGTTACGATTCTCTTCATCGTTTGCATCATCCTTCTCATCATCGCTGGCGTCTTATTGGACAAGCCCAGGACCTATTGTGTCAGTCTCGTCATGGTGTGTATCAGCTTTGTGCCGGGGAATATTGTATGCGTCGGCATCATCTGTCACTTGGCAAAAGAGAATAAGAACAAGTAAGCCTGCACTGTGAAAGAAAATTTAAACCTACCCCAAGGCCAGCTTCACAATTGCCATGAAAGCAAGCACGAATGGAAATTTGTGATGTCAGACAAAAAAAAGCTGAACACATCAACCCTGGCAAACTTTTGGTGATGTCGAATTTGTTACACTTTCACAGTCGTTTGATGTATGACCAGCCCTAATTTGTATGGAATTCCGACATAAATGAAATGTAAGTGATCAAGATTCCACGACTTCAGAACAGGCCGTAGAAATGCACCCCTGTTGGGGGATGGAGGATTGTCAAATGACCCGGCAAATGTTGACAAGGTTGGCATGTGGGAAAGGCACTTACAGGCTTCATTGCTCTCAATGCTGCTTCTAGTCACTGCTGTCATTGGTACTTCTCCTACAGCAAGGTAATGCAGAGCCAGGAGTCCCTCAAGGGAACTACCCAAGATGCCGAGAAGCCACTGTCAATCACAAAGAACAAAGGTAAGGTCTTGGGCTGTGGAATCAAGGGCCGTGTCCGAAACGGGCTTCCAGAGCTACGGCTAGGTCTATTACCATCTCCACACATTTCCAATGGAGCGAAGACCTAGACCTAGCTCTAGACAACAGATTCGGATGCAGCCAAGACCAGATTTTATGGCTCAGTTTTACTGTATTCATGAGTAATCTCTGCTTACTATGGCACAATGTCAAGCGCTTTGTTATCTCATTTCATAAGCTTGTAAAAAAATTTGGGATAACGAGCTCTTTGCATCCTTCAACTATGAATAGATTGTAAATTGACAGACTTAGCCCTAAACTGCTAACCAACAATCTTGGAGAAGGTGGCTATGGCTGATGTTTTCCACTATTAAATAGCACAGGATAAAAACACATTATTAAATGAGGCAGTCTTGTTTCCTACCTTGTATTTTTTTAAAATCTTTTTTACAAATGAGGGTGTTGTAATATTTCAGACCCCAATCTTGGTGTCAAAGAGGAGAGGCCTTGTTCCCCAAGTCCATCTGGAAGGATCGTCTGGACCCCCCACGGAGCAAATGCAGGAGGTGAGGCTACCCAGGGCCGATTCACACCTGATAGGGAAAAACACAAGTATACATGTACATTTCACACCAAAAGCATGTGAACTAGTGTCTTTGGTTTTCTTGAGGGGGCGGCAATGCCAAGTAGGGCTATGTTGGGTACAATAGGTTGATCTGCAGTCTTACAACCACGCTGCCCCCTATATGCTCCGGGCGGCAACAAAAGAGGGTGTGTTTTTAAATGAAATTGAAGGTTCTGTGGTACCAACTCACCGCGTAGGCATGCAAGTCTATGCAAGTTTGACGTGGAGCACGCTGAGTACACGCAACAAATTTATTCTCGGACGCCAAACGCATGCAAGAGCTCAGCTGTCTTTCTTTCGCCAGCGAGGGTGCACTTTAACTCGGGGCAGATTGATTAATCCCTGTGGGACTTCAAAACAATCCTCTACAGCTGTGAATTAGAAATAAAAAGTAACTGGCTGATGGTGGAGGTGTAGCCAAATTGTGCAAAAAAGATCAAATCAGTAAACAATGAAAGAAATCTTGCCTATCAACTGATTATTTCTATGTTAAAAAAATCAAGTTTTTGTTTCACATTGATTATCTATATGGAAGTTTTAGCACTATAAATGTAAAATATCCATTACTGGCTCCATATATCGTCATGCCCTTTACTACGGAAAAGGCAGAACTTCTACAAGATTATGAGACACATCCAAGCGGCATTTCCAAGGCATTCCCCATTCCATTGTCACTCCATCTTTTACAATATAAGTAACACAGAAAGTACACTTTGATGAAATCCAAACAGACCAGATAAAGGCCACAAAAAGTTACTGCATTTATAAACTGAGAAAGCCTCTTCCACCTATTCAAACTACCAGACAGAGAGGATGACCCCAGAAACAGAAAAATCTCCGCTGGTTCCCAGGCTGGAGATTCTGCTGCGCTGGTCCCCGGGAGCAAAGATACCGGCAAAGCCCAGCCCAAGAAAAAGAAAAAGAAGAAGCGAGGTAGCCAGCCGAGTATTGAACTAGGAGAGCTGCGACGACCGAGCAGAGGTTTTAACTACGAGTACATAAAAGAATAACAGTTGTGATACACAGCACAGCATAAGCCAAACCACTTATATATGCAAGATGTCACAGTTTTTCAAAAATCATAATATGCACAGGGGATAATTGCATGTCTGTACCGGGGGGGGGGTGGTGGAAACTGAATTCTTGTCCTTCAAGTTTTCATCCAAGCAAAAAGAACATGGAAACCAGGTGCACAGCCAGGGTTTGATTTCACCATGCTGCCAAATGGAATCTAAAATCCCGTTTTAATAACCCATTTGCACTCTTCCATTTTTGCTTGATTAGCATCCTGACTTTGCTTCCAAAATCTGCATCCCATTGCAATCTACAATGTTGACCTTCCGCCCTGGTTACACTACTTGTAGAACCCAATACACCCCCAGAAGAACAAATCAAGAACTTTTCTCTCATTTTACCATTCTGTACATATGTCAAACTGTTCATGCCCTAAAACTGTTCAACGTGGCCCCTTGAAAAACTAAACTGGCTTCATGCTGGTTGCTGTGATGTGTGGAAAGTATTTCCATATCATCATGCACTGTAACACGTGTACTGTAACACTCTGCCCTGGCTCTTGCCAATGAAGGCAGGAGGATTTTTTGTTTTATGTTGACTGCATTCAGAACTGTTGCTCAGATATAATTTTGTGAATATGCTTACACAGATTCTCAAGTTTGTTGTGATTATGTAAACTTTATATTTTGCACATACATTGATTCACCTTGAAGACTTTAAAGTAGGTTAAAGAAAAACACCTCACATTACACTTGCCCATTTCAATCTAATAAAGATATTGTAGCGTTAAGAAGGGCAATCCTTACTTTTAGGACACCTCTAAATTTTCTGTAAACTTCTCATAAAACCATTACCTTTGCATCTTTGTAAAATCTTCCTTCATACTGTAACTGAAAAAATGAGGAGTCATTTTGGGGAGGATGTTGCTGGAAAATTACTGTGAAATTTGGCTGTTCAAGACAGTATTTAGAAGCGGGGTCCTAAAATTAAGGATTGCAGCTTCTAGTGCAGCAATGAAGTTTGTTTGGAAGTGAAATGAAATAAGCATAAGCATGCGGAATAGTTTGTTCGGGGAAGAGACATGCTCACATTTCAATAAACTGCAAGATCTGTGTTGTTTTCACAACCTGTGCAGAAATTTAGTCGAATGTTCATTACTTCGTGCATCATTATGTAGAAACTCAGTTGAATGAATTGTCACCGTGCATTAGCAAAGTTATAATTAGTTGCAGGTGTTAGGGGAGAAATATAACAATTGACAATGCACTGCGCACAATGAACAAATCTCTTCGGCGTTATCTGAAATCGCTTGGCTGCAACTTGACATTACACACGACTCTATGGAACCAACTTTGGCCACTACCATAGATTCCCGTATTAGTTTAAGTCGCTGCCAAATAATTCAGACACCAGATATTCCCAATCAGTTATTGAATTAGTTTACCCAGCTCCAGTCATGAGAAGTTAAAATTACGTGAACCGTCTACCCACCATGTTTGTTAAATCAATGAGCTAACAGTGTGTCGACCGGTGGAGGTTAGAAAATGCCAGCCACAGGTGATGGCCAAGAAGAAAGTATTTGCTTGGTGATGAACAGTTGTGGTTGGACAATGCTGCAAGCTTTATTATGGCAGAAACTGAGCTGTAACTGAGACCATCACATGACGAGCCACAAGTACATGTAACAGGGTGTGAGCATTGACAAAGTAATGTTTTTGTCGTAGTTCATTCAATGGCTAGAGACTTGAATCGGGACCGGAGGTCTTGTGCTGGTCTAGGGATGGTCCTTGACTACAACATTGGTGTTAATTGCAGCTTGGTGGATTCATTACAACTCATTAGAAGAGCATTGGCAAAGTTATAAATAGAGGAGTGGAGTGCCGTGGCCTCGTGGTTACGAGTATCGGATTCGTAGTTGGCAGGTAAAGCCGCAGGTGGTGGGTTCGACTCCAGCCTGGGGTGATGGTGCATGTGCTCTTGGGCAAGGCACTTTGTCACTCACTGCCTCTCTCTGCCTGAGTAATTGGGTACCCTGTGAGGGGCAGAGATGGTTATTGTAGTTGATTTGGCTGCTTTGCACCGAAATGGCAGCATCGAGCTGTATACTCCCCAGGGAGCTGAGATGGTCTTTGGAATGTTTCATGGGCCCAGTGAACAGGGGTAACAATAATGGAAAGCACTTTGATCTAAGTTAAAGGCACAATACAAAAACTGTTCTTATTATTATTATTAGAAATCAAATGCTGCTACTTACCAGGTTACGTTGAATGGAAATAAGGCTTTGGAAAAAATCCATGAAATGTGTTTGTACTTAATGCCTTCCCCCTCAAAAAAATAAAAAATAGAAAATTAAAGTCTGGTTGTCAGTGGGGGTGTCCCAAAGTGGCTCAAAAGATACAACGGACTTACACCTGTTGAATCTTGACTTACGTTATCAACATTCTCTGTAGGACACATATCGTCACGTCCAGTAGCTTGCATCTTGAGCTCCTTGTCATCATCCGTTCTCTTAAGAGAATGCTTAACTGTCAAAGGAGATTGGAAGCAGCCTGCATGTACTGAATCAGATCTGGATTATTCAAGACAAAGTCACACATTTGAAAAACACCAAATCTCTCTTTTTACGGCAGTCTTTTTAGTTGTTTTATTTTGCTTTGCATACTTAATGATATTGCCCATGGATTCAGTGTACTTCGACAGCTAAGTAGTTACAGAAGAATGACGAAATTAAATTTGAGCTATATAACAATGTATAAACAGCGTCAGGTCGAATATTTAACCATAAGTCTGTTTTTGCGTATTATCATTACATAGATAAGAGCTAACAATTCATATCTGACATCACCGACTGCCCATGATGTCCTGACAGCTTTCTGGCATGATGACCTTCTGTGGTCAAGTTCCATATATGGACAGAGTGCCATGCTGTAGTGAAGCCCATCACAAGTCAAACAAGGACAGATCCAGATGCAGTGTTTCAGAGGGGTAGCTATTTTTGTGTAGATTTTTTTGGAGGGGGGGATTAAAAGTTGGATTTCTTTACATGATCTTTCATGGTCCTTGGTGTGAGGCTCAATTCTGGGGGCTTTTTATATCCTTTGGGAAGGAAGGGAAACAGAGACAAAATCACCCATATTGCCCAAATTCAAAGTGTCTGGAAATGAGCCGTCAGAATGGGGAGCCTTTGTCACACTGCATATGAATAGTTTGTGACTAGACAAATCAGAATGGATAAACTTGTGACCGACTCATGACGGACCAGTCGTAGATTTGTGACGGGGCCAAATGCAGCAATGGCAAAGTTGCAGAAAAAAAACAAAAAACAGTCGTCAAAGACCACGGAAACCAAGGATATCCAACGGCTATTACGCTAGCACTCCACTGGGTTCAGGCTACCGTCTCATGACAGAGTGTGAAGCTTTTTAAGTTTCAATGTTGTAAAGAGCTATTTACAAACACCAGCATTTTGGAAAATTAGATACATTTATATATATATATATCAACAAAACCAAGAAAGACTTGTGATGGCATGGCGGTTCAAGAGGATTAACGCGTATGTTGTATCTTTTTCGGAAAGACACATTGATTTCTAGCAGTATTAAATCATGACACTTTGAAAATATACAAGAGAAATTTAAAAATACTCCTGAACCCAAGTTTAGTCCATCAAACTCCACTGTTCTATAACTGGCAAGGGGTTTTGTCCAACAGTAAATCAGTGGTAATCCAAGTAGCTTACACTTTTGAAAAAAAAAAAAAAAAGAAGGCACATACCTTCGGCTATGTTCAAACATATCAGGCCGCCTGCCTGATGTGCAACACCAAATTTGCAGCAAAGGTACCATATGAATGGACGGCCTCAGGGCCACGCGGAAAGGACTGATACGATGAGTTTACAGCAGCCAAACACCAAACAGACAGGGCAACACTGGAAGATCTCCTTTGGTATTGGCTAAGTATACAAGCTCAAGGACTGGGAAATAGCTCTAGAAATCAACTCTACACCTACAGTTGTGAATTGACCACATCTCAGTGGGAAAAGCGTTGTCTTTCCCTTTGTTCCTATAATACAGTATGTTCCCCAGGCTAAACACTCAAAACTTTTGAGGACCGGCTTGGAAAACAAAATTGACAATGGAGGACAAGGACTGTCCTCTGTTCCCATTATGCAGCCGTCCTCTGTGGTAAAACCACACAGGTTCACTTTGAACAAACTGTGGTTTGATACAGACAGTGTTGTAGTCCTAGTATTTGTACCCGAAAACATTTTCTTGATATGCCCAACTCATAGTCTTGTGAATATACTCATAATATATTATATATTATAATATATTATAATATAATATATAATGATATAATATATTATAATATAATATATTTGTACTCATACATGTACTTATGAAAATATACTCGACCAGAAGTAGAGAGCATTGAAAATATTTATAGAACGGTTGTAACAATGGGAAAAGAGCTCTAAGGATCAGAAATGTGGGCTGGAAGATGGACACTGGGCTATAAACCACTGGCTACCGAATCTCCGGTGGACAGGCAGCCGTATCATTAACAGGCTGGCCTTAACCTACTGTTTGCTGCAATACGTACCACAGTTACTAACCACAATGGCAATACAACAGACAGGTGGCAATAATGGGCAGGTGGGCGCATTAAGCAGGTGCCCGGTATGTACAAATGGCCAAAATACTTTACCGATACGTAAACCAATTATACAAGTCACTTCTTATTCATAGTGAAAAGTACCAACTGCGTGACTGACATGTTCAACTCTACTTCTGATAAAAGTCTGGCGTGCTGCTGCGTCATGGCTCTATATGTAAGCAGACAAAAACAAAAAAAAATTCAGAATTTACGTACATCTTTGTGAACTTGGCAGTTACATCTTGTCGGATGACCTCAACACTGGCCCTACTCCTTTGTATTATGTACACAGGCCAAGAGTTGCCTCTGTGATTCAAAATGATTAAATACTGTACATGTTCCTAGGACTAATTTTACAATTTAGAATTAGTTTACATTCTAATTACCTAATTAGCTCTAAAATGGAGAAAAGTATCACAGGCAGGTGATCAAGACTTGGAGGACTGTACTGCTGTGGTTCAGCATAAGCCCCTATCCACTTTGGCTGAAGGTACAAAATGTTCAGACCCCGCCCACAAACGGGACTGAGTTGGATTCCAACCTGAGCCACACTGGTTGCCGGCAATAAGAGTTCATTCTTGGGCCTGAGATTTAGTGGGTGCTAGGTAGCAAACTGAGGCATAGAGATCCATGAATGAACAGAATGAACCAGTCGGGATTCGAACCCATGACAATGCTCCTCCTCAAATGTATGTGCACCATGTACAAGTGTTTCTTTGGGCTCTTTGGTGTGCAATGGCACCCTATTGCAGATGTGATCACAATGCTACATTTTTTTTGCCAATCAAAACATGTAGTCAATTTGTAAATCATAAACAACGCCTCAATGTGAAAGTGCAGGACAGGGAAATCAAAAACTGACAGCTGGGCTGTTTTAGACAGTTCTACTGAAATCTGCAAAGGACGCCGCAAAATAAACAAAAACTGTCGGTGTGTTAAATGTTGCCATGATTATTCAGTATGCAACCTAAGAATGTTAATACTCCTACCAAGTCTAGATATAAAGGAGCACCTCGTTACAAAATTTTTTAATGGGGCATAAATATTTTCAAGATTCTAACCCGGAATTTCGATAAGATTATTTGTGATCGTTAAAAAAAACAAAAAAATTTACACATTGAAATGAAGTCTACATTTCGGTGATCCAGTCACCTTTTGCAAAATTACCAAATTTGGACTCCTCCAAACACAGGCAATTTATTTAAATTTTTGTGTGTGGAAAACTTTGCTTTTGGATCGTCCAGTCACTTGCAATTCTGGGTAAAAGTCTCTGATGCTTCTTAAGAATGTCCCAGTTTTGTTGATGACTGCTCCGGTGTGGCACGTAAAAGTGTACACCTGCAGATATGGTACCCCCTCTTATAACAGCTGAAGATCATATTATGTGGTGTCTAATGGCAGACAAGTTCAGGAGCGTCACACTTTTGTAAGGTCCGACCTGGATATTCTAAGGTGTGGCTCAAATGTGACCCCTCACACCTGATCTTACTTTGCGCCCTCTAGTGGTGGGTCAATAATAAAGTTCAGTATTTCCATGTGTGAGTGCCTGTGCTATGCATCCGAAGCTCCGGTGTCGTTTTTAACTGTCATGCCCTCTGGCTGGCTCTTGTCTTGGTCCGGTTGTGATGGTTTGGTCTCTTCTTGTTTGCTGCCCTCTGGTGGTGGCCAAGCATCATCGCTAACTTCAAACTAAAAGAGAAGGATCCAAAAGCTGGTTTATGGATGCACAGAAAGCTTTATACACTGCAAATCGTCAGATTGCAAATCTGGTACCTCTTGGAGAGAATGACTGTTTACACACAAGTTTTTACGCAGGGAATTACGTAAAACAGGTTATCAACTGTGATGGATGGGAAGATTAAAGATATTTCATGCAGTTGCAGCTTCAGCATTTCAAGTTTCATTCCTTTTGGCGAAAGACAGAAGGAGATTGTTACAGCAGCGGTTTTAACACTGGAGTCTTCGGGGTTTACGAAAATCTTTGATTTTTCTCTTGCTCTGAGCCTTGTTTGCAACTCTCAGAACCATCTTGATGTGACATTTTAACATTCAGTCCGAACAGAAATGACCTGACTCTGGCTTCACACTGTGTGGGATTTGAGGTTCCCAAACCAAAAAGGGGGCAGGTATTGAGACACCGTCCCCTACTTTGGAGGCATAAAATTGAGATGCTGGAGGGAGCGGCCAAAAACGGAGACAAAGATTAGGTTGTGTAAACTCTCAACCATGTCTGAATGAGGCATTCTTTGTCTATTGTTTCATTGTTACTGAAAGCCAGGGCCAAGTAATTTGCATGCAGCCTGTGGCTTAAGTAAGCTCGCCGTCGACGTGCTGTTGGAATTGAAATAGCTATGAATGGAAATGCCACACTTCGGATGTGGCTATGACCCATTAGATTGATGATGTAGAAATGTGATTTGTACAAAAATGATTTCTGGGGAAAAATGCAGGTTTCGCATACCCACTTTGAGCTTCATGATGAAGAAAAAACTACCTGCATACGAACATTAACCTTAACTTCCTGAACGAAATTGTTGACAAACTTCCCCAAAAAGGCCAAATCGGTGAGGGGAAGCAACACTAGTTGAGCTCTACTTTCCTCAACCTGGTTAAATCCACCTCAAACCTTCTGTCGGATTCTGACGGCTCTAGGATGGTTAAGGTTAACGCTAGAGATCAGCCAATCTACTGAAAGATGTTTGATGGTTGAATACAAAGTTAATGACATCTACTTGATAAACTCTACAAAGAAAAAAAAAAACTGGTCATGATCGGTTGATGCATGTGTGGCTTGATGACGTCATGAGGACAGCTGGATGGTTGGTGGAATGATGGGCTGATGAGCGACTGATCAGATGATGGCGTAAAGGGGTTATTGAAAGCTCATCTTACTTAGGCTTGGGAGGAGTCAGACGCATCCTGCCATGATACAATCCCTCCCGTGGGTTTCTTGGAGCTAGCCTGTTGGAAATTCCAGCCGTTTCACGACATCAGTGAGAGCTCGTTTATTCGAGACTTTACAAAACGGAGAACGCACTCTTGCTGGCCCAAAACCTTTCTTCTAGTCAAACAACAGCGAACATTTTTTCGCAGGCATCTCTCGGTTAAACTAGGGCCGAGACTTTTCACAAGGACAGCATTCGTGCATCAGCCCTTTTGAAATGGAATTCCACATCTGGGGGAAACTCTATATTGTGTGCTCATGAAAGAGCATTATTAATATCAAAAGAAAAAGTCTGCACGTGAATGAATAACGAGGGTCCAAAAACTTACAAGAATTAACGCTTTAGATGGTTTAATTTATTCAAATACTGTAGCAGGAGAGCTTCACAGGAGTTTGCTTCACCTGTTTTTCAGCTGATATGACTGAAAAAAGTTCTTTCTCCCCGTAAAACTATTCCAAACGTTAGCCTGCAACGTGTTTGATAACTGAACACTTTATGCTCCTACCTATCATGTGAAAACTGAGGGAAAAACTGTAGCTTACAGATGTGGTACTTGCATTATATCACATGAAATAGTGGTAGTATTTGGTTACTACTGTATCACAGACAATTTAATCTGATACCTTTAGTTAATTGGAAAATCTGAACATGGACATAAGTAGTTCCAATAAAGTAGCTCTTGAAGGTTTGCATGGTGGAATAAACTCGACGTTTCAGACAGTGAGTGCTCTGTCCGTCTTCAGGACTGATGCTATCCAACTGTGCTGCTGCTTATATGCTGTGGGTGATCACTGAGGCGTGTCAGTTGGTGTTGGGGTACTCCCACGCCTCAATGATCACCCACAGCAAATAAGCAGCAGCACAGTTGGATAGCATCAGTCCTGAAGACGGACAGAGCACTCACTGTCCGAAACGTCGAGTTACCGGTTCTTTTCAGAACCACACATACTCAAAAGACATATTTTCCACATGGTGTATCCGCAAACCCTCTAGCTTATAGTTGGAATAACCAAAATGGCTGACAAGATGCAAGTATTTTCTTGAAAATGCAGAGAAGAGTACTGATCAAGACAAGACGTGGGGAATGACCACCTTACCTTGGCCGAGCCAAAGTCAGCGAAGCTTGCAAAGGGGTCCACTACACTGCCTTCCTTGGCCGTAGTTGTGGAGGCCGACGACGCGAACGGATCCCCGCCGAACGGGTCGGCCTGGGAGGTCATGGAGCCAAAGGGATCGGCGCCGGAATCCCCGCCAAACGCCGCGAAAGCGTCCGGGGTGGAATTGACGGCCGTGGTGGCGGACGTAGTACTGGCGGGTGTGGAAACGGTGGCCAACTTGGCCCCAATGGTTTTGCTCTTCTTGGGAGGCAGGGCGGGGGTTTCCTCTTTGGGGTTGAAGGGGTCACTGCCGAATGTATCAGTGCCGGAACCCTGGCAAAGACCAAAGAGAATTGATACACATGGCTCATTTAACTGGGAAAAAGTGTCAACCTGAACTAAACCAATCTTCAAAATTGGAAAGTGGTTGCCAACCACTCAGTTTCAAGATTTGTGATTTATAACAAAGTTCAAAAACCGTACAGGGGAATTGACTAGATGCTAAAAATATTAATTACACAGATGAGGAGTGGCACTGAACAGGCACACAAATTGTTGCTGGCAAGCACTAGCTCTATTGGTCTTCACTTTTTATTTGACAAGACCCACAGACCAATTTAAAGACAAGTTTTGAACCAGCTTCTCTTGAAAAATTGCTCAAGGCCAGATAATCTGCATGATAAATTGTCAAATGCTTCTATAATCTGCCTCAATGCTTTCATACCAAAAAGATTTACAACATCAACCCAGTCGCGTCGAACATTTAACAACACAGTGTTTAAACTTCAAGGACAACATCATGAAGTTTGAAATGACAATATCTCTTTTGACCTTGAAAATTTGATTAGTCAAAACACTGCACTCAAACATTTTACTACTGACGGGGTATCATAGTAGCAATTTCAGCACAATTTTTTTTACAATTCACAGAAGAGTGGAACCTGCAAAGTTAAGTGTCTCACCTTCATAAATGCATCTGGTTTAAAGGCATCTCCGCCGAAGGGATCAATAGATCCGAATGCTGCCAAATTAAGAGGGAATAAGAGGGAAAAAAGGTGAAGATTTCAATCTGATGTGAAATCCACCCCATGCTCCGCTGGATTATTAAGTTTACAAATGATCAATGAGAATTTTCACATGGTGTCAGGTTGGAACTTCAAATGTTGTTCCTTTAAAGAATCCAATTTTGTTAACTGCATTTGAACCCACATCCTCTGATATGTCTCAGTGAAAAACCTATACCTTTAGAATCTGTATCACATACCCAGGATCATTCAAGCCGCATCCCCAACATTCTATTTTAGTGTGTGGCTACAGCTCTGCTTTTATCATTAGCACACCAGTGAAAAGTCACAGCCGCAGACAATTATGTCCATTTTGGACATGGCTTGCCATCCCAAGTGGTAGAGCACAATGTGTAACTTGATGGTGGCAAGGCTGGCATTTATTCAGTGTACTGTATGGAGGTACGAAATCCACAGGTGTATGTTGATGCAATCAGTAGGGTTCTCATTTCAGCTCTGTTGGATTCTGTCACATTCTGCAAACTGCCCAGAGAAAATCTGACTAGGGGTTAGGGCTAAAGGGAAACGGCATCTAGTCGGAATCTCACCATCTGTCTTGGCTGACGTGGGGGTGCCTCCCGCTCTGAAGGGGTCCTTGCTTTTAAATGGATCGTCAGCCCCACCCACTGACGAGGAAGACACTGCAAATGGATCATCCGCACCTAGCGAGGGGCCTTTGGAGGCAAAAGGGTCGCCTCCCTTGAACGGGTCTGAGTTCACGTCGCCAAAGGGGTCCGGCGTCGTTTTGGAGCTGAAGGGATCGGAAGATGAACTCGGGAAGGGGTCTGAGGACGTTGAATTCTTGAATGGGTCGCCACCGAAGGGATCTGATGAAAAGCCTTCATTTTTGAATGGATCTGCAACCCAATGAACAGTGCGATTCAACTAGTAACAACAATAAAGCCAAGACATCTACCCCTGCTCAAAAGTCCACTGATGCATTTCAAGAACCATCTCAGCCCTTACATGGAGCCAAGAACAAATGTAAGCACAAGTGGCTTCAAGTTCACAAAAGGAAAAAAACAATAAGCAATAAAGGGATACCTGTGAAATCTTTGAGATGGAGAGGGTCACAGAGAGGAGAGGGCCACTTTCTTTGATTAAACACAGAAGGGTTTATCCGGGCAAAAAATGGTGCCCTGCTCCATCCGGAAGTGTCGGTTACCTGTGAAAATCAGTGGGTTGGTGTGGAGCTGGAGACGGTATGGGTGGGGACTATTGGCTCACCTTCTGTGAATGGATCCGATGACTGGAAGGGGTCGGCAGCATTGGTGTCACCGAAACCAGCAAACGGGTCTCGGCCTTTGAAAGGGTCATCCTGGCAAGGACGAAAGTTACAAAAACGTAAGTAAATCCCATCGGGGGATTTTTGAGGAGCAGACAAAAAAAAATCACCAGATAGGGTTTGCACTATTGTTAAGATTTTCACGTTGATGATGGGGCAAGGGTGTAACTTGAGTTGGCTAAGTGATCATATTCCCAGGCAATACTGTGTCCACTTTTTGAGAATGACACTACAATCCTCTCGACATGCATCGTGACCACAGAGACAACTAAAGATGATTGCACTAAATCTAAACGGTCACTAAATTACGTTTTGCTGAAGGATAGTATCCCCTGAAAGCTGTTAAATGTACCATCAAAGCCAGGCACGCCATTCAGAATGCAACAAAGCACAGATCTCAACCTATAATCACTGCATACTTGTGGAACATCGCGATTTTGCCGGCGGCATGGCATAATTTCAAAATAAGCATGGCGTGTTAGCAGCAAGATGACAACCCATTCATCCTGGCAGCAGTAAAGACAACGGACTCTATGAAGTGCACCCTCACTGGCAAAACAGAGACCGTTGGTACAAAGTTTTCCAACTGGGTTCTTGCACGTGTTTGGTGTGCACGCTAAGACCAAAGATTCCAGAATTAAATTTGTTTCACATACTTAGCGTGCCCCACGTCAAAGGCATAAACTGCCACACATACGCGATGAGTTGAAACCAAAGGATTGTCAGCTTCATTTAAAAACGCCCTCTTTTGCTTGCACTCAGAGTGGATACATAACTACATCCCTTGGAGTGAAACTGTGACCATCTCAATGAAACATGTCAATAATCTTGAAATCTGTCACCAATGTGACAGAGACATGTCAACAGGTGGACACCAACAAGTTCTCAGGTGCATTCTTTTCAGGTGCAATGCCGCTGCTTTGTGCACACTCCGTAGAAAATCGGCAGTGTGTTCACCCAATGCCATTCACTTGCATGAATTCAATACTACTTGCACAGGATTCTTTAACCACTCCCTGCCGGGGATTCCGGATCCGGACACGTATGCTTTATATGTGTGGGCGGGGTCTCCGAACTTGGACAAAGGGAACAGGGCCTTGTAACAAAAGACCAGGCTGCTGGGCATTACCAACATTTTTCACTCTCAAAAGTGGAGATAATCCAGCCTTGTTTTGAAACAGTATAACACGGTTTGGGGCATCTAGAGCGAGCCGATTACCACTGGGGACAAAAGCACTCCACCACCGCAGCGATGAGCCACACAGCACCACTGCATGCTAATCTGGCCCTATTGAAAAGAGGTCAGCAGCACACGGAGCCAGGTTCGTGAACAATAGAAAGTTCTTTTACCAGGCTGCAGGCCTGGCTGAAATACTCAGGTGTCAATAGATTTTGTCTGTCTGGCTAGAGTGGTCACCAGACAGTTCTTTACGGTATGCAAGTGTCCAGTAAATAAAGATAGGAATTTTTAAAGAATTTTGAAAACAGAAAAAAATGATGAATATCCCGGCCCAGGATCATCAACATTGATAACTGCCTCGGCAGGAAGTGGTTAATGAGTAAGCTGCGTAGCATATTCTGTAGTTACCGCAGGGAGCCCAAAGCGTGCACAGGATTTATGGTAAAGGAAAGGTCAATGTCTTCTGACCCATGACCTACCTTGAAGTCTTCATCGGCACGTCTGGTCTCAGATGTTGTGCTAAAGCCACTAAGACTACTAACTGGGCTATTACCCGCCTAAGCAGAATGGAAAAGCAGGTCACGATTCACTACATCCCTTTACAGAAATACTTTCTTTGTATTAGGGAGGTTTAGATGCAAGTATTACACAAAAATGACCATTTTTGTTTATCGCGCACACGTGCGCGGGCGTCAAAAGCGCTTTTGAACATTTAGATGCGCGTCCCACACAAAATCTACATCTTCCAATGAACACTCGAATCAAAGCACAAATGATCAATCACATCCGGTAAACCTCTCAAAAGAAGTGTAATCGGTCATCATAAACCAAGCATGAAAAAATTACAGTTGCATAACCTTTGCACTTTCCAAAAATGTCCCTTTCATACCAGCGAATGTTCAATGCAGAATTTTAAGCCTTCCGAAAAAGTTGCAGTTTCTCGCGTTTTGATCCAACGCAAACTTCCCATGTTTCACGTATTGGATGTCCGTGCAAACTACCAGTAGGTGAGAGATGATAGGCACGAAGCAATGACGTCAGTAAGAGTCTACACTCTTTGGCTTTCATGTAGAACGTGCAACTAATCCTCTCTATGTTCAATTCTCCTTATTCCTTAAATATAATTTGGCAACATCAGAACAAGGTGCATACATGGCATAATCAATTATACACTTTGTGTGACTTTTGAAACGCAAACCTTTTCCCGTGATAACTTATAAATTAAGTTGAAACGATTGGCACACCTGATGGAATGAAAAAAAACCTACAAGATCGGTACATATTAATGGAGCATGAAGAGTGCGGCAATGACAGGTCCACTCCTACGACAGGCACAGCCAAGCATGCACCATCTCGCAATGAAGCACCAATGAGCAAAGCATGCATTCCCAATTGACTTTACTCCTGAGTCGGCCATTATGAAACTCTCCATTTTGGGAACTTAAGAGTAGAAATTGGGAAGTATGTGAAATTTCATGAAAAATTAGTACCTATCTAGTGTCTACTTCAAAGAATATTTTCATATGAGTAATTAAACATACCTTCAATAGTTCTTCAGGCCAGATTTGGAAAAGAATTGAAAGGGAGGCTTGGAAAGCACATAGAATGGTACCATCACGTTCAACCATTTCATATTTTTGAAATAGATTCAGGGAGCAAGATCAAAATGGCCTCTTCAGGACTAAGGTCTACTGAAGCAGAGTGTGTTCCCAAGGGCCTTTTAGGGTGGATCTATATTTCAAGACCCTCCCTCAGCACTTGGTGCAGCTACGTGACCTCTACATGCGCCAACAGCGTGACTTTCAGATGGACTGTTTTTCAAATGTCCTGTCATTTTTTAAAGCTTCATCCACAGCTTGTAGCTGCATCTCCTGATCCACAATCATTTCTATACACCTGCTGTTGGAACCAAATGAGTATGTCCCAAACTTCCAGTTTCACATTAGACAATTTCATGTTTTCTACCGCAGAATAAAACGGAAATACGCCTAGCTAGGAGACTGCAACTCAGTGGATTAAATTCATGACACAGGCGGCCAGACGCCACTGCTGGAGATGAAACCAAGAGAAGGCCTGACGTTGAACACGAACACTCACCGTCGCCCTGGTGCTTAGGAGATCCGTGTCGATGGACGATATCCTACTGAGGGGGCCCAGCTCCTCGATACCCTGGATGGTGCCCTGGTTGTTGTTGGCGTGAGGGACCAGGGAGGGTATACCGGAGGGTATGACGGGCGTCTGGTCAAGCTGCTGCATCTGGCTGTTCAGTTTGTTCTTGCTTTCCACAAGGCTCTTCAGCTTGGCTTGGAGCTAGAGTCGGGAAAGAAAAAAAAAAAACAAAACCATGTGACTCTCAATGCCAGAGATGAAACCTGACCCTGTTGAATTCGACCAGGTACTGGACAGGTATGTAGATTTGACGGGCCATTCTATAAAATTGTTACACCTGACCTGTTTTATTTGACAGGGGATACATCACTCAATTCGACTTCAAACTATTTTTAATTTATTTTGGCAAGTTTAAGTTCAATGCAAAACACTTTTGGGTGGATGGGTTAGGGGTTTATTCTATCTGCAAGTGTTCAATAAAAATTGGTAAGTAACCGTTGAAAATAGTTGGGTATTAAAGTCTCCAAAGGTTTCAGCTAGATACCCCAAACCCTCCCAAAGAGAGAGGAGTTGTTTGGACGTGTATCAAGTTATCAGAATAATCGACGCAGCCCTAGCCCCAGGGCCAGCCCAGCCCTCACCACTTGGTACTCCTGCTCAACTCCCTTGGTGGACTCCTTGACCATGTCCAGCTGGGTCTTGCCCGACTGTAGCTGCTGCTCCAGCTGTACCTCTTCCTGCCGCAGGTTGTTCAGCTCCACCCGGGCTGTCTTCAGCTCCTCCTCCTGGGCCTGGTGGGCAAACAGGGAGAAAAAAATCGGACGAGGAGTCGGACACGAGTCAGTCTTTGCAAAGCAGACCAATCTGGCTGCCAAGCAGCACTGTGAAATCAGGCTCTGTCTTGATCTGCTTTCCTCATTTCCTTAATAACTGAATCTCTTCATCTCTTCCTAAGTCTGATTTCTTCATCTCTCCTTTAATCTTATTTTGTAATCTCTTTCCTTTTAGTAATCCATTTCCGCCATTTCGTCAGCGATCCAATCTCTTAATGTCTTCTTGAATCTCATTTCCTCGTGTCTCCCATGACCTCATTTCTCAATCCCTTGCCTCGAAAACATTTGCTCTACTTCCTCTGCCACCCAATCTTTCCATCTCTTCCCTCATTCGCATGTCTGAAATCTCTCGGCCTCGTCAATCTGACTCTCTGCCTGCCCCACCTTAAGACTGGATTCCTGGGAAGCTATCTGACCCTGAAGACTGTCCACCTCCCCCTGGGTCTCGGAGCACTGCTCCCTGACCTCGGCCAGCAGCCCCTCCAGCTTGCTGCGCTGCTGGTCTAGCTCATCCAGCCTCTTCTGGGCCTCGGCCTTCTGGGTCTCTAGCTGCTTGCACTGGCTTGTTGACTTGTCCAGCTCACTCTGGAGGCCCTGAGAGACCCAGAAGAACAAAAGAGAGACTTTTCAACAACGCTTACTGATTTCGAGTTCTTAACCCTAACAGTCCTCAGTCCTCCAACAGGTGAAGGATTGAGGACTGTTAGGGTTAAGTAAAAACATACCAACGCCTCAATTTTTAACCCCTTGACTCCGGGACCCGTCGACAGCTGCGGCTTTGTACGAGGATTAGTGCATACCACGCATACATTCTATTCATCATGCACCTGCGGTTTCAATGTGGGTCTGCTGCTGGACAGGGCTTTGCATACTGGGCACACCGCAGCCCAGCAGTCGCAGTCAAAAGAATCCCGGCGTTAAGGGGTTAAAGAAAGCTCTGAATCAGTATAAATCCAAGTCAGAAAAAGTTCAACTACCAATAAAAAATGAATCATTACTTTTATGTGTGAATTCAAAAAGGTGCCTGATCCTCCCCTTGACCACAGGGCACTTTGCTGGACATAATCCTTTTGTCCAAGACCTAATTTCACGATGCTAAGCACACGATTTTACACTTACAGAGGCTCTGTGTATTTCATGAAAACTGTAAGCAGTAAGCAAAGCGACAAACCTGCATACCTTGTGGGAAATATTTGCTTAACTTAGTGATGATACAATGGAAATCACTATACGTGCCCATACAATTTTTGTGCTAAGCACAGCAAACATGACATACCTGCTGTGACATACGCTTACCTTTCAGCAAATTTTTGTGTTACAATTACCAAAAGAATTTGCTGAACAGTAACCAGTGCCGTGAAATTGGGCCCTGAAGTCAGTGGCACACCTTCCACCAATTTTCAATTCTTCAAGGCTTCTCTATGTGGATCTGACCTGTACTTCTAGCGTCTTCATCTTGACGTGCTCTTCCTTCGTCCTGATGTCCACCTGCAGCTGGCCCTTCTCCTTACTGAGATTCTCAATCTCTTTGCTGATTGTGTCCAGCTCCTTGATGGCCGAGAAATCCCCCTGGGAACCCACGCCGGCTGCTAGGTCCTGAGCAAACGATGGAGAACATAACATGACCACTTACCCCCCTCCACTGTGCTCAGTCCAGACAGCGCTGCTGTCCAGACCTCTTGCGACCATCAAAAGACCCTACAAGACCCCACATTGATTCAGGACAAATCCATTCTCGACCATTCAACCTCTGCAGCTGGCCGGGATTCGGAATGACCCAGTTACGGAGTCACGACGAGTTTCAATGCTTCTTGTCTCCCCTGTAGCCTGTGGGTGGGGTCTGGCACTCCCTAGGGTCGGGGGTTTGAATCCAGCATGGGGTTACATGGTACGACCTCGGGCAAATCACTTTACCCCTGCTTGTCCCTCTCCAAGAGGTTTCAATTGAGTAGTCGTTTGTGCCTGAAACGGCTGTATCGAGCTGTATACTCCCAGGGAGCTAAGATGGCTTTAGGAATGTCAACGGGCAAAGTAAGTGGGTACGATGAAGTGTTAGGTACATCTAAAGTCCGTCTATGTTGAAAGGTACCATATAAATGTATCATAATGTTATTAATGCACCCAATCTCTTTCACACAAGGAGCCTGTTCAAGAGAGGAAATGACTAAGGCTGAGAGCAGATTACTTGGCTACGGCTAGATTTAATGTACACCCATACGGATGCCAACAGCTAGCAACTTCATGCTTTCCCCATCGACACACACATTATTTCTAGCTGCAGCCAAGTGATTCAGACACGGCTAATGCCTCACTTGCAATCCCGACATGGCTGCCTTGCCCGGCTTGGGTCTTAGCGTCGGCGGCACCATCTCTGGCGTTAGCACCGGGGGTGGGTTGGTCCCCGCTTTGGCTTGATTGACGAGGTACATCACCAGAGCAAACTGCTCGGCGCTCAGCTGACCTGTTTGTTTAGTGTCGCACAAATTCCTGCCAAAAAAAAAAAAGAAGAAAGATCGACTCCCCTGTCTGGTAAACGACTATGAATGCCAGCATGATACAAAGTACTTAGACTGTGGTCAAGTCCATAAAAGTCCCATTACAAATCATCCCGTCTTTTGCCAAGTCTTATTCAGTTCGCTCTTTTATCAATGTTCATCCTGCTACATGGAACTGGGCTTAAGACTGGACTGGTGAGAGGACTTGCAATGGATGTGACAGCAGCTCTGTGAAATATATACCCCAAAATACTCTGTGGCTCTTCTTTCGATAAACCTTTCATACTTGACTGAGGAAAATTTGAGACAATTCTCTGTACATTAGGTCAACAAAAACACTGTCCTTTGAGCGAGCACACTCTGAGGCACTCCTGTCTAAAGACTACC